CGAAAAATGGTGACTTGAACCCGATATGACCAAACCTGAAACCAACCCTAGACCCGAGTTAATCCGAGTATTTGAGACCCGAACCCAAATATGAACCGACCTGGAGATAACCCGACCTGAATATAACCCGTAAATTATTGTCCTGAACCGAACCTGACCTGAACCGAGATTGACCCAAACTCGTTTGAACCCGTCAAAACCTGAATTAAACCCACCCTTTTACTAATTCGACCAAATTTAACCCGACTTGTTACTAACCCGACCCGAATTTTACCCGACCTATTACTAACCCGACCCGAAATTCAACTCGATATATTACTAATCCGACCCAAAATCAACGCGACTTGTTATTGACTCGACCCAAATTCAACCCGAATTGTTCCAACCCATTTCGAACTCAACCTAACTTGTTATTTGCCTGACCCGATTTCAAATCACCTTAAATTAAATTTAAACCACCTCATTAATATTGATCAAAGTATAGTTATATAGTTATGGTATTACTTATTATGTATATCTTATGTAAACTTATCTGAATTAATTAGCTCGAATTTAAAATTATCTGAAATTATTTCTCTTACAATAAATGAAGAAATTGATAATGATTAAATGTGAACGTCATTACATGAACTGTTAACAAACCGACCCAAAAATTGTACCCAAACCCGATATGACCTGACCTGAAATCAACCCGAAACCCAGATTAACCCAATATTTGAGACCCAAAGCAAAACATGGCCCGACTTGGAAATGACCTTACCTGATTGTAACCCGCAAATTATTGACTTGAACTGAATCCAAGAATGACCCGACTTGGAAATGACCCGGCCTGATTATAAACCGCAAATTATTGACTTGAACCGAACTTGACTCAAACCCGAGAATGACCCAACCTGATTATAACCCGCAAATTATTGACTTAAACCGAACCCGACTCGAACCCGAGAATGACTCTAACTCATTTTAACCCGTGAAAACCCAAATTAAACCCGACCTATTATTCACCTGACCCGAATGTAACCCGACCTGTTATTGACCCGACCTAAACCCGATAAGATGTATGACCCGACTTGACCCGACTCAAGCATGACCCAACCCAAATTCGATTTACATAGGTTACGACATTGACCCGAATTGACACGAACCGAGTTGACCCGACCCGAGTTGACCCGACCCGCACTTATCCGACCTATTTACCCGAATTGACAGCTCTAGTTTTTAGAGGATTTAGGGTTTCGGTGACGCTTTGACGAACATACTAAGGTTTTTGCGATTTTCAGGGATTCCCCTCTTTGAATTGAAGAAGAAGACGAAGCACAAGAAGAAGGGCGATTGAAGAGAAAGAGAGGAAGAAGGGCGGTTGGTGGTTAGGTGAGGGGGGACGACGCTAACCGGGCCAAGGGAGGGCCAATGGAGGTTGTTGCGGTGCCAACGTCGGGGAGGGGGGTGGTCTGGGCGCAGTCGGGAGTAATGGAATCCAGGAGCAGTTGTTTTTTTTTTAAAAAAAATAATTTAATTGTTAAAAAATAAAGGAAAATATGATTTTTAAGGATATATTAGTTAATTTGTCTTTAGTTAACTATGGTTAGGATTATAATTGTAGATTAATCTCATTAATGTAACCACTGAATTAATAACACAAATAGTTGATTACCAAAGATAATTTGATTTTTTGCTGTTTACCATTGAAAAAAATTAAAAACTTAAGAGCACCATTGAGAATTTCCCTAATATTTTTTTTAGTAATAAAAGTAAGTAAAAATTATAAAAGTTGATATTTTAAAAATATACTAAAAGATGAATTTAATAATATCCCAAAATGACCATTTTTTTTTATAAATATAAAATACAAAAAGAATAATGATAGTAATACTATAATACGTAAATAATGTCAAATTTCTAAATGTGTCAGACATAAAAAAAGAACAATGAGATACTCCCTCTGTCTTATAATACATGACACAGTCAAACATTGCACACATGTCAATGCACTAGTTTGACTTTATTTTTATATAATTAAATATTAATGAAAATTATTTTAAAATTTATATTATGAAACTTTATATTAAAACCTATCTAACAACATATTTTGTGATAAAATATATTTTTATTATATTAATAAAAAATTATGGTCAAATCTAATGCATGAATAGTAAAAGAAAGTCTAACATCTCATGTATTGTGGGACGGAGAGAGTATATTAATCAAACAAAGTTACAAGTATGCAGTGAAATGTCCTTTAACTCTGATACACGTCAAACATTAACAAATCATTGGATAATGTTTATAAGTGTAATGGATTTGTATACTCCTTCCATACTATTATGATGTAATTGACACACCTTGACTTTTTTTTTTTTATATTTATTTATGTGTTAATTTAACTATAACTTTTTACCAACATATTATATATAAATACTATCATGGAAAATGTTGTTAAATACTATGTATAACTCGTCCAGACGCGGCGCCCTTTCTCATTATCATCTACCGCCCTTTCTTTCCTCCCGTATATATTAATATAACGTTTCATAATATTAACTTTTATAACTTATATTAATATTTTGTATTTAATTATTTACATTTAAGGTCAAAGTCGTGCATTGACAGGTGTAATATATATGTTTGAACATGTTTGGGTGACTTGAATTTGAAAGTCTAAGGTGGGCATGTAAGTGCAACAACTTTTATATAGAATTAGGTGCAACTAAAAGTAATTTTTTATTTACTAGGGGAGCCTACGTGCGCGTTGCGCACGAATGTTTAGTTGTTATGGTCGAATTGTAAAAGTTTGCCCTAATACTGAAATCTTATTAGGTAGGCTTTTACTAAAGAACATTGCCAACAATGATTTAAAAAAAAAAAAGTTCACTTCCTTATGCTCTCTCTACTCACTTTCTCATACTTCTTCCTCATTAGCATTTTGATGATCATATTTTTATCCCAACAATGATTTAAAAAAAAAAAAAAATCTTCACCATGACACCATTATCTCTTTACCACATCATTCTCTTTTACTTTTACTAATACAAAATAAAATTTGTATAATTACTTTTACTAATATAATTCAATTTATCATCATATGGTCAAGGTTGATTGAATTGAGAGGTCTAACTATACAAATTAATTGGTTTTAGTCTAGAACAAAAAATAGTTATGGTTAAATGTTTATTTATAGAATACAATCATGTGAATCAAATGGAAGGATATATAAAAACTTTATGCAAGAAATTATAAAAATTTTAAAGGTGTATATATAGTATATACAAAAACGTCTAAATTACCTCTTGGTATACAAAAGGGTTTCACCCTAGCTTACATAATCAAGTGTTACAATTACAAATTTTTTATAAAGCAAACAAATTAACACAAGCAACTTAAATGCTAATTTTATCAAGCAATTAAACCAAGTCTTTTGGCCTCCTTAACTACTACATTATGCTTATTAAAAATGTAAAAGCAAAAATATAAGGGTAAACATGTAAATGAACTTTTTGAGGGATATATTAGTTTCAACTCTATTCATAAGAGTTGAGTGATACTTTTAAAAAGGTGGGGATTTGATAATGTTTTTGCTTATTTTAAGATTTTAAAATGTGGAAAAAAATTATTAAGATATACCCATGAAATTTGGATTCTCTTCAACTTCCAACCAAAGCCAAAAAAAAAAAAAACTACGTACTACTTCATAAATATTTTTGGCTTTGCTAGGAAATGTGTGGAGAACTGGAGATGTGCTTGTGTACAATTTGTTGGCTGGGCTTTGGTTGGAAGTTGGAGATAATCCAAACTTCATGGGTTTGCAATTTGCAAATGAGTAGTTGGGCTGCTTTTAAGCCTTTTTCCTCCTTGTTCATTTTATGGGCTAGTCTATTGTTGTAAAACTTTTAAAGTTTTGGTCATTTTTAGAGTAACTTTTACGGAAAATTAAAACAAATATTGCTGACATTATTAATAAACACATGTTAACTTTTTCGTATCTTTTAAATAGTTTGAGATAACTCTTATAAATAGTGTTTAGATAATTCTACATTCTAAAATATTTATTTACTTATATGTCCTTATTAATTATCAAATCTTATTTATTAAATCTCTTACTCTCTATCTTTTTCTTTTTAAATGCAAAATCGCATGGTCTCCATTTTCATTTTTCCTTAGTTTGGAATTGAGTAGAGCTTAGGAAAGCAAAGAGTGTCAATAACACTCCGCATTTTATCAGATTGTATGTTATTCACCTTATTTAAATTTACTCTATCTAAACTTACAATAATTTATTACTCCGTAGATCTCATTTGAACTTATTTTAGGTGTATATCGAGCTTGGATAACCCTAAGTTGGCTAAGTTATGCCAAATTATTCAAATAAGACAAACAAAGGAGAGGGGGGGGGGGAGAGAATGTTTTAATGATTTACGTAAGTCACAATAAATTTTACAAGTAGTGTATATACATTTTTATAATGCTACATTCTTCTTACTTATTTGATATTCTGATATGATTTGACTAAAGTTTAAATTATTCAATTTATTAGATCTTAAGAAAAAACCGTCAAATGAGATATATTAGATTCTTTTTAATGCATAATATCCAAGAAGTACGTTATTTTGTATTAGTATATAAATTATTTAAACTACCTGATATTAGTAATGAATAAATACTTTTTAAAAAGGACAATCTAATAATTTTTAAAGTAAACAAAATATTTATTTAAATAAATTAAACTGAACATAATCCATAAGATGTAATAAGTTTAACTATTAAACCGATTAGCCGAACAAATGAGTTAATAAGTTCGAACAAGTCCTAACATCAAAACACACGTATTTAAACATGAGCAATGAGCCAATGAGGCCTTGAAATGTGGATATTAGGCACTACAAGACGTATTAAGATTAGAAGGATCCAAACGTTTCCAACTCTCCCTTCCTCTTCTTCACCTCTTCTCTCAACTTAATCCAACAAATATAGTAAAGTATCAGAAATCAGAATCCCAGGTGTGGGTTGCGTTAAGCTGAGCTGTATTCACAGATTTTGCTGGGCGGAATTATAATTTACTTTATTTATTTAATTTTTGGTTTTTTTTTTGTTTAATTTTTTTTTTTTACAATTTACATAAAAGTCAAAGCAGAAGACTGTGAATTTCTCCTAGTCTTCTTGCCTCTTGCGTCACTTGGGCAGCTCTAATTTTTCATCCTTTTCCCCTTTTCTTCTTCTGGGTTTACTTTTGGAATAGTTTAAGCTTCTGGGTTTTGTTCAAATTCCAATTTTACTAAATTCCATCATCAGATTTTGGTTGTTCTTGGGCAAAATTGTGTTGGGTTTTGTTTGAAATAGTTGGTGGTAATTCTCAATAAATTTTGAATCTTCATACTTAATCTCTCTTTTATTGCTGTTTTCTGAATTGGGTTTTAAGTATTTTCTCTTAAAATTGCTTAATTGTAAGTTGTTTCAGACCAAAACTTAAGCTTCCTGTGGTTTTTGATCTGATTGTATTAATAAATTAGGGTTTTTTTAGGGTATTTTGCTTGTTAAAAATTGTGGGTTTGGGATTTAGGAACGGGGTTTATTAGTTTTTTGGGGTTTAGATTGATTCTAGTTAGATTTTGGGGGTGATCACTTTATCTTATTCATTTGGGCAGTTTTTGGTTCATTTCTGGATTGTTGGGCGCTAAAGATTGTCTCATTTCAAAGGAGTTGTACTATATATTTGGTTATTTGGAGGTTATTCTTCCTGAATTGATAAAGAGGTTGTGGAGGCGGTGATGATGGTTGTTCATGGGGAGCCAAACAGTGAGGGCTGGAGTGCAAGCTGAAAAGGCGGCTTCAAACGGGATGCCGAATTTTGATCCTCCTATACCAATATCTAATACACTGTAAAATTCATTCATCACCCTTACCTCCTTGATTATTAGCACTTTTTAGTATTGATTTTATTACCCGCTCTTTGCTTTAAATAAAAGTATTGTGTGAAATTATTAGTTGCTCTTCTATGGTTGGAGGAAATCTCAATTCCAATTGGGAAACTTATGATTTACACATTGCCGAAATTGGTGGCATTCATGGCGCATGATTGGCTTGTCCTTTGTACTTAATTGGCAGTGTCTACACTGCTACTCCTATATTTTTCCATCATATATGAATTGACTATCACGGAGTATGTGATTATTTTGTGCATGACTTCGCTATGTTATATCTTTGTTCCATAAATACGAGTGGTTTCATTGAATTTGCAGGGTAGTTTAGCAGTGTATCTTGCTTGTTTTACAGTTCTGTTTCATGTTATGGTGTAAGCTGTTTCAGAAATGATTAACTAGATGTTGTAGAACATTTATTTTTCAATAGTTTCTTGTGAGAAAGATATGGAGTGTTTACTTCCATGTTCAAGTGTAACATGACTGTAGATTCTTGAGAGATTCAATGATTTTGTTTGATCAGCAACAAAAAATCATTTATTCAAGGCAAATGATGATCAAACTTGTGTCCTATTCAACTCATCAAAAAATAGTTCAAACTTATTTTGTAGACATTTCAAATTGTATCTATTTGCCATCGTTGGTTTTCGTGGATCAAGAACTTTGACAGCATTCCTGCTTTGTTCAATCTTTCAATTTTTACCATCATTAAGTTGTGGTAGCTGCAAAAGTTTATTGTTTTGTTTCCTGGTTGGTACAAAGGCTTACATACAAGTATACAACTTCATATAGTGGTTGCCTGAATCGGTCATAGTATGGAGAGAGCTAGGCCTAGCGGTGATGAGCTAAAACCATTCTCAACATGGTTCCTTGACACCTAGTATTGAGGACGATATCTCTTGCTTATATAATCTGAGTGATTTTTGAGATGATTAATCTAACTTGCTGTTGACTTCTATATGTGTTTGTTGTTGATCTATCTGTAACTTGAAGCTCCCTCCCAAAAATAATAAAAATAAAAAAATGCAATGGTAACATGTAGTTTTCACTTTTATTTCTAAAATCGACTAATTTCATCATTGTGGCTACAGTGAAGCAAGCTCTATTTCCTGTCGAGTTTCTGATTTTGGACTTTTGGAGCAAACAAATGGGTTCCTGGTGGAAAATACTGTAGGTCTTAGAAGTAAGCCGTTACCTTCCTTACTCTATCGATTAACCACTTTAAACCTGCATGTCTAAGTTAGAATTATAGGGTTCATTGTTTTGAACATCCTATCTAGGATAACAAGTTGTGGTTCACGATCTATCTTGCTCTTTTCTAGTCAAATGAGAAGTCAATCACATGTTCATATTCATACTTTATTTATTCAGAAAAGGGGGCCACGTGTTTGTTTTTTACCTCCTACTCGTGCCACATAAAATTTTTGGGCAGCATTTATTGTGTTTAACTATTTCCAGGAAGTACCAACATTCTATAAGTCAAATTGTGTTTGGTAAAAAAAAACCTTCTTTGTTTGCCCCTTTTATTGTTTTGAGTTGCTAGTTGTTTTCTCATTGCTGAGAAGAAATGGAAAAGTACTGTACTCGAGTACATCAATGGATTGTTCATGTTGAAACTAACTGATGAGGGGCAGTATCACTAGACTAGTTGGTGATATACCTTCGTAAAGCCGGTAATCTTTTTTTTTTTTCTTGCTGATATTGTCCACTCTCATATTTGAAATTATCAGTGTATGAAGTTGAAGAGTTATGCTGTATAATAATATTATTTTATTACCTCATCGTTTTATGTTTACATAATGGCGACCTTTGGTGTGATTTTATCTTTTTTCCCTTTTGTCTTTGCTTGAAGCACTTGTGAACTAATATTCTATTCTGAATCATAGTTTCATTTTGCTTTGTCATGTTTGGTACATTGTATGTCACATTCGAAATTTGACATCATATAATATACACACAGATATATGCGCTTTTGTTTTGAGTATAGGATTCTTCATGGATATCTTAGTCACATTAATGGATAAGATCCACAGAAGAACAACCCTATGATAATTGCTTGAGAATTGAAAATTTTGTTGCTCACTTTTTCATTCAGTGAATGTGCTTTGTTGCAGACCCTGTGATTAGTTCAACCATATCAGTTGGGGGTCAAGTTGTTCCATCTGATCCTTTTCATAGTATCTCTATTAAGAAGGTGAATTTGTGCTTCTACTGATTGCTCTTATCCTTTTTTCCTCTTTTCAATTAATGAGTGTCCGAACATCGGAAAGTGTTCTGCACTGCCCATGTATTTAATTCTGATACACTGTCAGAACACTGTTGATAAATTTTCAGTGTTTATGCATCCCTGTGCTTCCATCTTAATATGTGTCTTTAGTATTTGTTTAATTAAAATATTCTCTATCCTACAGGCATCACCAGGTTTACTATTTATAAATCCATCTGCTACGCAATCACAATCCAGTCTACAAAAGAATCTGATTTCTTTTTCTAGTGGTAGTTTAGAAAATTGGGGAGAGTCTAACATGGCAGACGGTAGTCCAAGAACTGATATTTCAACAGATGCAGACACAGATGAAAGAAACAAGAGGGTAATTTTTCATATTCCTTTCTGATATAGAGAATCCCGTTGCTAAAGGCCTAACGGGTTTATAAGCTTTCATCTAATAATTTTTATTTAATTTGGGGAAGTCCAAGTTTCTATGTGAAGATCAGACTCATCATTGGATAGCTATATATATTGATGTAACTCATGGCATGTGGCTTAACGTTGTGATTGCTAACTATGCAGTTTGATATAGTTACATCGGCTCATGCAGCTTCTGATTCGAGTGACAGATCCAAGGAGACTAAAGATCAGAAGGTAAAAAGCTGACCACTACTCTTTTTCCATGCAGTCTAACTTCACGTGCCTTTATTTTTGTGACACCTTTTTAAAATTACATTTGTAGACTCTACGAAGGCTTGCTCAGAATCGTGAGGCAGCAAGGAAAAGTCGGCTGAGAAAAAAAGTAAGCTATTTATTTATTGTTGCTTATGTGCTTTGAGGCTTGTTAAATCTTCTTGAACTTTTTCTTACTTTTAAGCTTTTATTGCTTGAGAAGGATTCCATGTGTAAACAAGAGTCACAAAGCTGATACAAAAATTTAGCTCAGTGTCATTTTATTTTTTTGACCTTTTTCTCACATTCTTTTATAATCTTCTCTCTCCTCCCTCTCTTTTTTCTTTGTTGGAAGTAGGCATATGTGCAACAGCTGGAGAGTAGCAGATTAAAGCTGACTCAACTCGAGCAGGAGCTCCAACGAGCACGACAACAGGTTAGATCTGGTTGTCTACTTTATTTCTTCTTTGATGCTGAAATGATGCTGTAATCTTCACACTAGTTGACAGTAGCTCATATCTTTTTCTTATAGATACTGAAAAACTCCCCTCCTTTTTTTTGCTTCCTTTGCATTTTTTAGGGAATTTTTATTTCAAGCTCAGGGGATCAAGCTCATTCAAGTGGTGGAAATGGTAAGTTCATCTCTGTTAATATATGTTCTTGTTTCAGCCTCTCTGGAGGGTGTTCTCTGGATTAGTGTCAAAATGTTATGCTTCAGTAAATTGACTGGTGCCACAACTCTTTCAGTTTTATCAGTCATCCTCACATGATATCTGATTTGGTAGATTTGGCAAATTACCAGGTGGGCCCTCCAATTTTGGGTGTGACGTCTCATATATATTAATCCCTTTATACTTTTGCCTTTAACTTAGGCCGAAAAAGAAGAGCTATATCGGGATAAGTAGGTAAAACATCAAAAGTTATATAATGATCACAACACGCTCAACTAGTTGATGTAGAATGAATTTATTCTACTGAGTTATGCATTATTGTTGCATTGCAGTTATTAATTTATGGAAATGTATCATGTGTTTCTATGGGTCAAATCCCAATTTGGGTCTCAACTTCTCTCAGGAATTGTTGCAGGAAGTGTTTTTCTTGGATGAGTTGTCCCCATTGGAAAAGTTTGAACCACACTTATTAATACCTTATTAATCATCAACACGTTCTTTCTATCTACTATATCTGTAAACAATTAGTGACTATTTAGTGGATCATTGCAGAAAGCCAATGAAATACCCACTTACGTGCGAAATGCTAGAAGATCTGATTAAGTGCATAGAAATGCACTTTATTTATTATTTAAGCATAGAAGTATATTGCCAGCTTAATCACTCTAGAGTAACATAGGGACCTTGTCTGGGTGAGTGACTCACTGGCAGTTGAACCATAATATATCATTGTATGGTGCATGTAAAAATAAAACCGGAAAATATGCTGTTTTTCTTTTTCTTGATAGAAGGGGATCTAAGAGATTCATGATCATTTTCACTATTATAAAAAACAACTGACCTTGTCAATGTCTGTCATTAGCTGGAGCAATGGCCTTTGATGTAGAATATGCTCGCTGGCTGGAAGAGCAAAACCGTCAGATCAATGAATTAAGAGCAGCAGTTAATGCTCATGCTGGTGATGCTGAACTTCATGTCATTGTTGATAGTGTTGTGGCACATTATGATGATATTTTTAGGCTCAAGTCCAATGCTGCCAAGAATGACGTTTTTCATCTTTTGTCGGGTATGTGGAAAACACCTGCTGAGAGGTGCTTTCTGTGGCTAGGGGGCTTCCGTTCATCTGAGCTTCTTAAGGTGAGGCATCCTCGGGAATTGTATCTGTATTACTTGTAGCTAAAGAGTAAAGAGGGACATCCAGAGAATTATAGATCGACATCTAAATTCATTTTATGAAAATTTTTCTTGGTCACTGATTCAAAGTATGTAGTATATTGTATGATTTGTATCTTCAGTTATGCTGTTCCTTGATTCCTATCATTTAGTAGTCAAAGTAGCAGAAGATTGTCAAAGCATGATCTTAGAGGCTGAGCAAACTGTTGCTAATTATTATTGTCAATGATTTTGGAGCCTTTTTAACTACTACTTTGGTCCCATTGATTCTCTAATTGTGTTGCTGATTTCAGATGTTTGATAAATTGTTTTAGTTTCAATTTGATATATAGGTGGACTGTATTATACTTTCAGCTACAGATGCTGTGATTTGCCTGATTACAATTTTATGATATTACATATTTAATTGAAGCTCTACTCTGCAGCTTCTTGTAAATCAGCTGGAACCTCTGACAGAACAACAAGTGATTAACATTCAGAACTTGCAGCAGTCTTCACAACAGGCTGAAGATGCGTTGTCTCAGGGAATGGAGGCCCTGCAGCAATCACTGGCAGAAACTTTGTCCAGTGGTAATCTTGGTTCATCAGGTTCATCTGGAAATGTTGCAAATTATATGGGTCAAATGGCCATGGCTATGGGAAAACTTGGTACTCTTGAAGGGTTTATTCGCCAGGTAACTTCTTCTTCAAGTTGGAACTATAAGTTTTGCTTGTACTCAGTGCAGAAAGAACCTGTCTATTTCAACCTTTTCCCCCTTTAACTCTGGTGTGTGGTGCTGTGTACTCCGAACGTTGGATGCGGGGTGGCATGTTGGGAGAAGAGAGAGGGGGGGTTGTTAGAGAGCTTTAAAATTTATGTTGGGTCCAGATAAAACTTGCTTTGTCTCTAAAATGTTAACTGTTGTTAGAAAAGAAAACAATAGACATTCTATGTTTTTTAAAAAAATTTATAAGCAGAGTTAAGGTTGACTCGAACACAAAGCTTGCTGGTCCAAGATCTGTTATGCCTGAACCCAAGCTGTATCTTCTAGCTGACCATAGTTTACAACACATCCTCCAATTTAAGGGAAACGTCTTTTTTTGTTTTTTTCTTTCTCACTTGCATTCCTTCCTTCGGTGATTTCTCAACTTGACCATGGCTATGTTTGCCTGTTTGGCATCAAACTTCAGCCGGCGTATATTATTAGGTAGCTGAATTTTCAGCTAAATTATTGATGTTATGGTGCTTGCCAAGGTGCTGAATAATAAGTTAAGCAGGCTTAAAGCTTGACAAAGCGTCAAACTACTGCCTTTAACTTCAATTAAGTTTCAGATAGCCAAAAAAAATTTGCCCCTTTTCCCTGTAGTTTCTATTGCCAAGAGTAATACAAGTAAAAATAGTCATTGCTGAATGTTGTCTAGCAGTTTTCAGTTAGTTCAACAGCAAGTTTTACCAAACATATCCTTGCATTTATCAGCTTTTAGCTTACATCTAGTTAGCAATTCTTAGCATCTTTAAGCTATCTGCTACCTTTCCAGCATTAGTCCGGTTTTTTGACTAATTATACCAAGTCTATGTACAATTCCTTGATTCTTAGTTACAGCGTATAATCCTTGAACCTTGTGTCAGCATTCCTGTTGTAGTCGTTTAGTAACTTACTTGGTTACATATGTCATATATTCCTTAAATATGTGATTTTTCTGTTTTCTGGCAGGCTGATAACCTACGCCAACAAACACTACAACAAATGCACCGGATATTGACGACGCGACAGTCAGCTCGTGCACTTTTAGCAATTCATGATTATTTCTCCAGGCTGCGTGCTTTGAGTTCCCTTTGGCTTGCCCGTCCAAGAGAATGACAACTTTTTAACTCATTAATCAGGAGTAGCTTTGTTAAATGGCTGGCGCGGATTTATTTGAGAGATCAGCATGCCAACCAGATTCGTTCATTGGCCCACAAGTCATTGCCTGTGTATTATCAGCACCATGACCAACACTGTTGTACCATATTTACTGACTAGAGAGTTGTGAGTTTCTATCATTGTTTTCCGCTTCAATCAGATCAGTGATGGAATATTTAAAATTGGCTTGTAGTTATGTTGATGTATTGATATCATGGGTAAATTATTTGAGAAAATGAAAATGAAAATGTTAACACAAAATTTGATATACTGCGTACTAAATTTTATGTGATGCATTTGTAGTTTGGCCTTGTTAAAAAACGTTTTCAAAGTGTATCCAAAGTTATGTTCATATTTGCTCAGCCAAAACAAAAAGGATTGATAGAATTATTTCTAATTTTTATTTGTCTGCTTATTTCTAAAATTACATTTTAGATGACCCATATATGGGATAATTGTCAAAAGGATTTTGCTTAGATTGGTTTGTCAATTCATTGAGTAAATTGTGGCAATTTATGACCAACTTCATTCTCTCTTCCTGTCCTCACCTTGTTGCCTCATTTTATCAGCAATCACTGCAACATCCATGTCCCTCTTCACCTTAACTGACCTCTTCAAATCATAGCCTCAGTTTGTTTGACATATAAATGTATAGGAAGTGAATTTTTTTATAAAGTGGAACTATCAAAAGCATGATAAGTTGTTTGGTGGACAAAATCATAGAAAACTGTGATTTCTAGGAACTTCCACTTCAAGTTCTTATAAAATGGAGGAAGTGTTTTACCTAGGTCACGTAGGTAAATGAAACTTTCCAAAAAAAGTTAAACGATAACTTTCTATGGTTAACTAAACAACTTATTACATTGTTATGAAGTGAATTTTCCTTATGTTCCAATTTGGAAGTGTATTTCTTTCATATGTTCTAAATACACACTCCATTTCGCACACGCACACGCGCGCGCACACACACACATTTTTTTTGCGAAGACTCCATTTCATATATATATATATATATATATATATATATATATATATTTTTTTTTTTTGCGAACTCCATTTCATATTATTAGTCTATGTAATCACTTGAAATATCAATAATTTAATGTCCTTATTTGTCAATTTACTATATCAATTCCTACTTGTCCATTTTCATTTGTGCGCATAAGTTTTAAAGGCATATTCTTAAACTGGTGAAAGGATCATATCAAGTATATGATTTTTTTTTTAAGAAAAAACTTTTATTATTATTTTTCTTAAAAAAAATATAGAATAAAAAACAAGGATAAAGAACAAAGTTACAAAGGGCATACATTCTTCTTATGAAGATTTCTGGTAATTCATTTTGTCTAGCTTTATCTTTATGGGAAAAGATTTTAGAAAAAAAGTTGAAACCCACCAGGAAAAGGCATAAAATCGGTGTCCTATGATTATGTCTTCTACTTCATTTAAGTTGACATATTTATTTTAATACGAGTGTTATTGCCGATGCATAAACTGAACTATAACTATATTTAACAACCGATATTTTAAAATTATATATTTTGGTAAATCTAACCAGTACCCACATAATAATATTTTCTTTTACATACTTGTATAAATTGCAATATATGATCAAAGTATATTGTGTATAAAATCAAAATATATCAACTAAAAAGAAATGGAGGTAATATGAAAATGCTCTGTCAATCATGAGGTATAATTATTTCCACCACGCACTAACTTCTGTCTTACACTACTGTGATATTTGGTTCTCCGTAGGTGCTTGGTTTTTATCCAGAATCCAAGGTTTCAAAGAACAAGGGGTAAAAAGAAAATACTGGCAAAAAATACATTTTCTTTCTGGTAATATTGATGCCATGATCATTTGAAGAAAAGCAACTGAGATCAGGCATCTAATGCATAATACAAGGAGAGCCAAAAAGAGAATTCATATTCCCAGCAGTAACAAATTTTACTACAACAATGTTCTTATTTGGAATGTCCATAACTGGATGCATTTTTCAATGAGCAACGACGAAAATGGTTCAGAAGTAGTTACTTTTGTAGAAATTCTTAAGGAATGGGGAGAAACCTTGCTCTTTGGTACCCAATTCCTGAACAAGTCCGTGGTGTCCCACGACATATTGACCAATCATGTGATGACGCTGCTTTGAATGTTCAACAATGTTTTCAAGTTCCTCCATCCCTTTAAAGATTAACATGTCGATTACCTGCAGATATATGAAACTTGTAAGGGAGACAAAGCAGGTTTACAACATGAAAGAGATTCATCAGTTATAATACAGCTTGGGGTTTATTTGAAATACTCGTATGACTTTTAGCCAGATTTTTGGTTGGTCTTTGGCTTTTAGCTTGTTAATTTGGTCAAATAAAAAAAATTAAGCTGGCAAGTGGCTTTTTCGATGGGTCAATCAGCTACAATGAAAACTCTGAATGGAGCAACTTATTCTCTTCAAATTTGATTGATTGACATTTTTCATACAACTAGGGTAGCTAAAGCACACGATGCGCGCGCATAGCTAGCCATAACCGGGAATTTTTTTCAGTTTGTTTATATGTCACAACTTTAGTTGTTAACAACATTAATGGAAAAATATGTTAACAAAAATTTGTAGGAGTATAAATGTCCGCACACTATTTTTAAGAGTTCAATCAAAGAGTCGACTAACACTAATGAGGGCAAATAAGTAAATAATTGTTTAAATACTATTCGTAAAAGTTATCTCAAACTTGAATAAACCAAAAAGCTACACCACATATGTAGAAAAAATAGGATAAATAAAAATAAAAAACTACCACACATGTGATTCGCATGCATAAATTGGGGTGTATATGGGTAAATAGACATTTTCAGGAATATAGTTGGCATAACACTATTCATTTTGGTTAAACTTTTAATAAGGCAGGGAAGTATATTGGAACAACTTATTCTTTGGATTCATGTTGCTGACCTATTTCACACGAAGTATATTATGCTTACTATTTGGCCCCAACACTAGACATTTTTTTTTCACTACTAATAGCTAACCACAGAAAAAAATGGAAATTTAGATCAGCTCTAACAAAAGTCTACTACGTTCATACAACCAAATTCTCCAGAGTAAAACATAGACTTCCAAACCATTTTTCCATACTACATATCAACAACTGGTTTTATCATAAATCTTTAGCGACAAGTCATGCTACTAGTTGACTGGAAAAACTAATAATACTAATTGGTCAAACAAGACAACGATGCTTCCATTGTTGACATCCAAGGTATTCATGGTTTTCTTCACTCACATTCAATTGCTTCACTTTTACGACAAATCAGCAACAAAGCATTACCCTCATCTGTTTGGCATATCTGTTGCCCAATCATAAATAAACCATCAATCTTTCTCATAACACATAAACTCTTTCTCTCCCCCTCATACATAAAAAGCCATCAATCTAATCCAATGGTGTGATCAGAGTATCAGACTGATAACACATAAACTCTTACTCTCCCCCTTATACATAAAAAGCCATCAATCTCATCACTCTATCTCTACTTGAAAATATGCGTGACCACATACACATACTTGAGCGGTTGAGCACTTGAGCCTATGTTCAATACCATTTGATTCTATTTAAAAGCTTTACATCAGTGGCCTAACTTCTATAATTTAAGAGCGGGGTGGATGTCAAGACAGAAACGGAAATGACTGATACTTTGGGAAAATGATACAAGGTAAGTACTGGGCATGTCATTAACAAAGGTTGAGAAAGATGATAAAAAAAAATAAAAAATAAAATAAAAAAAATCACAACAAATCAATTGGAAGCTATGGCTGTGACAAAATCTTCAAGGTCTAGCAGTCTAGGTGAAAGCCTGTAGAGGAAAGTTGGACTGTAGACAGGTTCAAGAGGATTCCATCCTGAACAAGTACATAATGGTATTTCTTTTAGGATTTTTTTTTTTGTTATTGTTCCAATCATGCATGGTTTTCAACTTAGGAGAGTATAAACTGGTAAGAGTAGTAACAGTCTAATAGATATAAATACTAATATCAGGTCAAATATGATAACGCCATGGAGCTAAGTATCCAAGACTACAAAAACCAGGCAAAGCAAACTTTCTTACTCAAGAAAAAAATTAATTTGAAGATGACTAACTCTAGGTATTGATTGCATATTAAAATAAACGGACTATGGATGATAAGGAGGAAAGGCCCCTTTTTCTCTTTTGGCCTAAGAAACCAGTGCCACTAGATTTTCTGCAATGTGACATAGCTTATAACAAGGTTGCCAATCTCGCCATTGAACTCAAATCAAAGCAATCACCACCAATGTAATACTTCATCCCTTTCAAAGCCTCAATTCACTAAAACAATAGATTTGCCAATTTGTTTACCAAATGGAGAGAAAACGCTGTCATATGCTTTAACATAAATCTTCATGCGTTTTAAATTCCTAATGGCTAATGCACGTTTCTTTAAACTCCTTGTCCCAACTCAGATATCACACATAAACCTTCCTCCTCTTTCCTCGGGAAACCCATATTGCAGTTATCCACTTGTACAGTGACCACAAGAACAGCCACAGACCCTCAGCTCCTTATATATTACCAGATATTTAACCGCATCATAGCAAAGGTTCAAAATCCATCCTCCTTCAGCCTCAGAGAGAGCAACTTCACCTTACTAACCTTAAACTATGTAAATCTTCCCATACAAGCCAATGTGTTTAGGCCCCCACTTACATTGTGTATCACCTCAATGAAATCTCCTGAATTTATATTGTTAACTGCTCCTTTTAATAGACCCTAATTCCAGGAAACGACCCTTAAATTATAACTCAACCTAACCCATCTCAAAGTCCTTAAAAATACCTATTCTAAATTGGGATGAGTCCACTCAAGTAGTGTCAGAGTCACTCAAATCACACAACCATCAAGTCGTGACGCTTCTAGGGATAACACCTACCCCCCCCCCCTCTCTCTCTTAGGTTATTAACATTCCTCCTCAATTAGTAACAAAGGTGGCCATGAAGAAACCAAGCATCTAATCACGAGATAAGGGCATTGGTCCATTATAGGAATTAAGTTCTTGAAAGTTTTGCTTCAATGATGCCAAAGTTCTTAGAAAGAAATCTATTATATGTATTTTGTATAGTAGTTGCTAATATCAACAATCCACATATCATAGTAAATCTCTATAGTTGCATTAAGAAAAGAGTGTGTGTGTGTGTGTGTGAGAGAGAGAGAGAGAGAGAGAGAGAGAGAGTGTGTGTGTGTGAGAGAGAGAGAGAGGGCTACTAAAGCACTAGGTTCACAAAAAAAAAATACAATACAAGTGTCTTGTCACCTTATGCTTAAGAATTGTAGGCCTGAATCACCTGAGAAATTGCTATTTCAAAAGGCTAAAAGCAAAGGAAAAGGAAATTCTAAGCATTAAGGTGAAAACACTATATGCACCTCTAAACACTACTTTTGACTTTTGAGGAGTATATATTGATGTAGCTCTCTAAATTAAATTTTTCAGATTTGCACCATTGAAATCCCAGACTACGGTAGAAAAAGCTTAAATTGACCTCAATTCTCATTGCCTTAAAAGTGTTTGAATGGAAGAAATTTTTAAAATTTTCATTAAAGCCTAACAAGCCACAATTACCATCGACGTTTTTCCATTTCCATAAGCTACTTGGTGATACAATTATCCCAAATAGCTAACAAACAATCTTCAACACTAGAAATCATAACTTATAAGCATTTCCAAAAGATGAGACTGGCAACATTTTGCAGCAAAACACTATATCCAAAAGCTGACAAAACACGAGCCTCTACTTGGTTAATTTCAATCCCTATATACACTCGAGTATTTAAAAAGACGTATGCTTCACGCAATCATTCAATGCGCCACCATCTTAAGAGTATTCCAATCCCACAAACTAATCACATTTGATCATACTCAATCTCTTAGATTAAAATCATTTGCTAACAACCAATATCGATTCTTTTACTAACCCTAAACCCCTAAAACAACGAAATTCTTCAAACAATCAAACACAACAGCACAATCAATGTACCAAAACGATACAACAACATCAAAATAAACCCTAATTACACAAAAAAAAAACGAATTTGAAAATCAAAATAAATGAAAAATAACCTTAGGATCTCTGACATGAGAATTCTTTCGGATCTGAGAAGCAATGGTGGAGCGAAGCTGAGAGATGGTGGCGACATCGTCGAGATTGTAGATATCCATGACAGTAGGAAGTGCTCGGCAGGCCAATTTGAAGAAGTCGAACACTCTTTTACGAGCTTCTTCGAGATTCGCTGAGTTTGGGGGTACCTTTGCTCTCCAAATCGCCGCCATTTTTGGAGCTCGAAAACAACAATGTCGGAGGAGAGAGAAAGAGAGAGAAGAAGAAGAATGGTGAGAGGGGTAAGATTGACTGAGAGTTCCAGATTCTGAGTCTCTTTTTTCCTAATTCCTATAGTCTTCTCTTCTGAAGTATACGACGTCGTTTGATTATTTATTTCATAGGGATGACACCGTTTCATTCAGAATGGATTTTTTTATTTTCAAATTATAAGTTTGGGAGAATTTCAAATTTTGTCCATGAATTTAGAATAATCACATTTTTCATCTTTCAGAATAATTTAATTAAAAAGAAATTTGTTGTAAATTGAAATGCATAAAATGGATAAAGGTTGTTTGTCATATAACCTCCAGCGTCCAATAATTTATGCTCGATTAGACATATCATTGTGTGATGTGTATAATTGATGTTTATGTAGTAAACACAACTCGAATTGATATCACAAAACATACTACTTTGATCACTTAAAACTTAAAAGTCTTTTATATTGTAAACAAAATTGACATTTTTTTAATTGTTGAAATTGTTCATTTGGTAATTTTATGTCGATTCAAATTGTTGAGACAAAACAAAAAGAAATGAATGATCAAAGCACACAAAGCTAAGAGTTTGAATCTAATATGAGCCACTCAAATTTGGGAGTTCTTTCAATGCAATATGGGGATGAAAAATATCAATGGAGAATTGGAGATTGAAGATGTATGATTCCTGAAGACTATACTACGATAATTATAGAGATAGTACTACGAGGGCGTAGTCTGCAACCTCATAAGATAACACTTTTTGAGCTTGAGCTTGAGCTTGAGCATGAGCATATGAGACGCTAAAAACTACCAACACTGGGGCACCATCTTTGTCATAAAATGCTGGACTCACTCATGTCAATAAAAATGTCCCTTCCAAAATATTCCTGAGACCAGAGGTCATTGGTTCACAGTTGTTACACACAGAGTCCAGTGCAGCAATCCTGTAATATTGACACAGCTGAAATTAGGAGGCCATGGCTGAAACAAGCACAATGTGAGACGTAGCATCATGAAGCGAACTACAAAAAGTTCACATAACTCATATTGGAAGACATACAAGCTCATATTGCTTTTCTCTTTCTGCAAGATAGTGAGAACTACATAACATAACTTCTAGCATTATTTCTTATGCAGGCCAGTAATTATATCTAATGTCCTGGGAAGTAACGTTTTACATCAAAGATTAGCAAAAAGTTTATACTCAATGCCAAAGTGACCCTAATCCTGACAGAAAATCAAAGCTTGCAAGGGTGATGTTGATATTCCCATGTTCATGGATCCTAAATATCGTCAACTTGGGTGGTTTTTCCTCTTATATAAAATAAGTATCCAGGTCAGCAGATTACAATAGCCAGCATATAACTCCAATGCTCTACATTTCTCCACATTCAGCGATAGCACATGGAAGTTTAGGACGGTTGTTTGGTCCAGTGGCAACATTCTCAATTTTCCTGACAACCAAAAGACCATCTCCTAGCACTCTCTGCAAGGAAGTCAAACAGTAGGTCAACAAAACAATTCAGAAAAGCATCTAAAGGAAACAATAGAGTTGAAATTTCAATAAAAAGTATGTTTCTAAAATCACTTGAAATCCCCACATCTTAGAGAGCAAGTGAAAACCGCTACTTGAGCTCTAAGCTTTAAAAGCATCACCGTGAAAAACTATCACACCAATGGACACAATTTAATGGTCACCAGTTGAATTAAGCCCACAATGAATGACATCTGAAGTTCAACCAAGTAACAAAAGCTTAACAAACATGTAAGAAAATGGAGCACAAAAGGTTTCATCCTCTCTTGCTTCTGGAAAACTTAATTCAGCTTAAAGCAGCATGCAGGCTGACTGGAAAATTGATAATTCAAAATTGAGGCATCAGTTATAACTTTTAACCATGTTGATGAAAGTGCCATACTGCCATGAGTCCATGAACACCAATTTACATGCATACAAAGAAAGATTGAGGGTTTAAGCATTTAAGGAGCGGAAATGTACCCCAAAAACCACATGCTTATTGTCAAGCCAATCACATTTTGCGCAGGTCACGAAGAACTGCAATAACAAAAATAAAAAAGTTCATCAGTTCAGCTGCTCAGTCCCCTTCAAATGCATAGATAGCATATCTAAAAGTCATATCCAACTGATCCTAGTTACCCCTTTAATCAAACAATTGAATGATTCAATGTTTCTAATTTCTTGATATTATGTCCTGTAAACAACGGGTATTCAAGGGTTTATAGAAGTAATCTAATGTGGAATACAGTCAAGAGAACCAGGCCATCTTTCAGTTATCCAACAACATAATTACAGTAGCCAATATCTAGTGATGGCTGACAAAAGAATTTGTCCATTATTAAGAAAAACATAGAAATGACTCATCAAAGATAGCTATGGCCCATGGACAAAATAATTTTACAAATAAAGGAGCCTTTATTTTCCTCGCTCATATTTCGCATACAAGTATATAACTCCACGAGAGGCATTCAGTATATATATAACAAAGAGTGCAGCAGAACAGAAAGGGTACAAAAATATTACCTGGCATCCATTAGTATTTGGTCCACTATTAGCCTGTAGCCAAGGTAAAACAAACAATCAATTGAAATACAAATCTGAGTATATCAATGATTTAGAATGTAGAAAACAGGTAAGGCCCAGATTGTCAACAAGGATGTTCTCTGCCTAAAAAACAATGATAAAGGATGCCAATCCTGACTAATCCCAAAAAAAAAAAAAAAAAAAAAAAAAAAAAACATTCAGCAACATGACAATGGAGTTATATACAGACTAGGTGCACTTTAGAAGACTATCATATTCTTCCCCATCTAAACTTGTCATCACAAGAAAGTGAAAAGCTTCACCTCATATTAATGCATACCCAATTGAAAAGGCTCACTATTCGTATAGTGCCATTCCATACAACATACAAAAGAGTAGGTTCCATTTACATAAGAAAGGTCAACCCTAGAGTATAAGACCAGGGTGTTTAAATCCCTAGAGAGCAACATCACCAATTCAACAGCACAATTCCCACCCCCTTCAACTCCAAAAAAGAAAAGAAAAAAAAAATTATAATCAGTTTGTCTCCCATCTCCCCTCACCTGATTCCAAAATTGATAGATCAGCAAGAAGTTAAAATAAATCACTGCTACAAGTCTCAAAATATCTCCTACTAATTTCTGTATGTAGTTTCTTGCAATGAATTTGAAATTGTTATTTCTAGCCACATCATCCATTCATCCCAGTCATACCTTTCTAAGGTAAAAAAAAAAAAAAAAAAAAAAAAAAAAAAAAAAAAAAAAAAAAAAAAAAAAAAACAGTAACACCCATGTGAAGTGGAATTGTGGAGAACCATAATTTGAAAAAAAAAAAGAATAAACACAACATGAGCTTATCAACAAAAAAATTATTTCAGGTAGATAATCAAGTGAAACTAAGACAATTACTAGTATACATGAAAAACAGGTTTGACTGGCAAAGAGCAAGGAAATTTCAATTATAACATGCATATCATTGTACGACAGATAATTAGAGCCCATCTAAAGATGCATTTGATATTCTGTTAACAAATGTAATTGAGAATAAAAAGAATTCAAAAGCTTAAAAGAAGGGAAGAAGATTAATACCATTGACAACAAACCAGGGCCAGTGTGTTTTGCAATGAAATTTTCATCCTCAAACTTAGTCCCATATATAGAGACACATCCACTGCCATCACCCTAGGAGAAATCAGTAACGTCAAAACCTTACCAGAAGGAAAAAAAAGATGATATACACTACGATACAACAAATTTCAATGAAACTACACAAGATTTAAAGGAGATATGTAGTTAAGAGCAAGCACACCATTCTACAATAGATATGGTCTCTCATTTAAAGTAAAACTTTAGCAAATAACAAACATATGCCATGCTAGTTTCAATATCATTGCACAGAGATTGTATGCAAGTCAAAGTTATCCAATAACTGGTATCTAAAAAAATCTAGAATCTAGCGGCCAAAAACATTACATTGAAAATATGCTAAATGTAGTGGACTGTAAATAGGCTTAAAAAACAAAATGTGACTTGCAAGCCAAATTATTCCTCATCACGTAGGAAGTTTAAAACAAAATAAACTACACAAATCCAAGGTGTAAACCACTTTGTCTTTCATAGAAAGAAATTGTGGGCAAAAACAAATTTTGTCTATCATAGCAAGAAGCCCTCTTCCTGACCCGGTATGCCAGTTCACTATAAAAGAAAATGACAGCAAATCATTCTCATTTCATGTGAATGCATAGCATAAAGAGCGGACAATATTCATTAGCTATCTCCTCATATGACAAGGCGTAATCAGAAGGGACAACCTTTAGATTTGGTTTGTGCAACTGTATGTTAGGTAATCAATGGAAGAGATTAAGGAGGACTCAGCAGATAGATTATAGTTGACCATTATACAACTTACTTCGTTAATGAAAAAAAAATCTTTTCAGCATAAGAAAGTTACAAAAAGACCAAATATAAGAAATAACAGTTCTTACTCAGCCAGAAAGGCAGAAAACAACATTTTTCTTGAATAAAAACACTTGATCTCCTAAGATATTTGTCTTTTAGTATCACACATTCATTATCTAGCATTATTAATGTTCCTTCATACTCAGAATATACACTATTACAGGGTTATTATTCTTTTAATTTATTACAAACAATAGAAGTCGTGAGCCACATTTCTATTTTCTTTGATCTCCCCACTCATCTGTATGCGTGACAGTGAGTGTCTTTTGGAAGGGAAGAGATGTTAGGATACGGAATCGAAAACAATGCTTTGATGAACCAAGAAGCTGACATACCTTAGGAAAATCACCAGCTTGAATCATAAAATCCTTAATCACTCTGTGGAACTGACATCCCTTATAACCAACAGGCAATCCATTTTTCCTGCCAACTCAAACGGACCATGCAGGCAGATTTAATCAAAGCAGAAAGCGTATGAAATGGAGCAATTAAATATAATTTTCAAAGGCTGCACCCCTTCAGAACCCACAACCCCTTAATAAAAGGCCAAACAATAGCAAGCATTAATCTAATCCATCAGAACATACCTGTATTCGCCGGTACAAAACTGCCTGCAAATCAAGGAATGAACCATGATCAGAGAAGTCACACCATTGACACCAAAAAACTAAATAACTATCAACAAAACTATGCCCAAACAATTTAGGCAGTGCATACTTTCTTAAATCATATTATATGTTTAGTATTACACTGTTAGGTATTTGTTCATAGCCAAGTAGTTCAACTTTACTCTTAAAACTTCAAAGGAATGAGTTTATGCAAAAATCCTAATGCAATGAAATCTTCAAATTGATAAGAAATAAGCAATTGAAAAGCACAAAATACCACAATCAATAAATTCAACTCAGAACAATCACATCAAAAAATAACAAAAAAAGCAAAAAATGAACACAACTTTGAACTAAAATCATAAAATTGCAAAAGATAAATGGGTAACCTAAAATTCTCGGCGGTTTTAGGGCAGATGTCAGCGAAAAGCTCCATTTTGATTCGACCAGCAGGAATAGAACCAATGGTAATGTCGAAGAAGACGATGGGGTTTTTGGGATTGGGAGGTCGTTGATGCCATTCAACCACCGCTGCTGCGGCGTTGTTGTTTGGTGCTGCTGAAAGTGTCGCCGCCATTTTCGTGTTTCTTAGAGCTTCAATGGAAAACCCCAGATAAACCCAGGAAATGATGTTCTTTTACCTTGGTTGCGTGGGGAAATTTTTCAAACTGAATCTCTTTTCTTCTGCTTTTTTTATTTGATGCTGACCTCCTCAGTTCTTTTTTAAATCGTACTCTGTAATGTCTAGGATTTCACGTTTGTAAATGCAGATGCTATGCTGTTAATATTCCGTATTACCGGAGCGTTAGATAACCCTTTAAAATATTTTTTAATATGGTATTAATTTGGGAATGCATGTCGAAATCACGCGTTTCGTTGTAATTAATGTTTATTTTAAGTTAATATTCTACTTTATAATTATCTTATCCAACGCCCCCGAACGTTAGTTCATTAGCTTTTGCCTTATACTTATAATAGTTAATATGTTTATTGTTAATTTCAAGAATGTACAAGCAATTTATTTTTTCAAACTAAAATAATCTTTCGTATAATATTACGATTCTCAAATAACAAAACGACTATTATTTCTCTAGATAGGTTACCAAGCTAAGGTTGGTCTAGTGAGAAAGATTACACCTGAAAATTCAATCTCTACTAGAGACACTTTGATGGTTGGGAATCCTTTACCTTCCCCCTTACTCTCAAATATCGAATTCTTCTCCTTGCCATAAATATAAAAAGTCTCTAAACAGGTACGTAGTTAGCTTGATCCCCAAGTAAATAATTTCATTTTTCTTAAAAATACAAAATTTACTATAAATAATATATATCGTATATAATATGTCCCTATCACCATATGAACATTTCCCTCATCACACCAAGAAAACAAAAGGAAGAGAGACATCATTATGAAGATGCAAATATTCGTGAAAATCTTAAATGGAACCTCTATAACCCTCGAGGTAAAACCTAGCAACACTGTTGTCGATCTCAAATCGATGATCGAGGCAAAAGAAGGGATTCCGGTGGACCAACGTCTTATAATGGGAGACAAAGAGCTAGTCAATAACAAGGATTACGAGGATTGCTACGAACGTACCTTAGCAGATTACAACATCAACAAGGACACAACCCTCCAACTTACCTCTAGACTAGTTGGTGGTTGGCTCGGTTGCAATATTTTGATTCCTGCTAAATTAAGAAAATTGGCGTACCATTCCAACTTAAACAAAAAGATATGTCGCAAGTGTTACGCCCGTCTTTCACCTCATGCTACCAATTGCTGTAAGAAGAAGTGTGGTCATAGTAACCAATTGCGTCAAAAAAAGGTGCCTCGATATTTTAGGTATTAGGTACTACCTTCGTTTCTTATTATTTGCAACAAAAGAATTTTTATGTCTCACATATAACACTTCTTTGCAAATAGATATAATAATTTTTTCATTGTTTCTTTCGGTATAATTTGAGATACCTTGTGATCTTTCTAATGTTATGATTACCGTAGATAATTACACATTATTCTTTGTTTTAAAAAAACACACAAGCAGACACTCAAGTTGGGTAAAAATAAATCGAGTTTGACATTTAAATTGGTATCTAAGTGGGATAATAGTAAGTTGTGTCAGGGTATAATTGCTTTTAGATTCCCATCGGGTTGAGAACTAGTTTGGGTTCAAATCATTGTCGAACTAGGTGAATCAAATTAAATCGTTTATTGGTTAATATCAAGTCAGGTGAAGGTTTGGATCAAGGTCAAAGCGTGTCTCGTCAAATAAGTTGTTGGTTAATGTTGGATTAGGTTTAGAGCGGAATACGAGTCACTAGTATCACCCATTGTTAAGTACAAGTCGAGTTCGGGTCATTGCCAATTCAGGTCAGTTTTTCTGATTGGGTCAATTTTTTTTACATCGAATGACATAATATTTATCATTTCTTTTGTGAAATTAACACAATATTTCAACATTTCAATAAGTTTTATCTCCCATTACAAGCCACTTATGTCAATATATTCAATGGAAGGCAAGTGCAAGTTTTATTTAGACCCTCTTTGACTAGCTTGCTTATTAGTCGTTTAAGACAATAAACCTTCATAACCGCATCAAATCATTGTGATTTCAACACCGTAACCCTTTCATCATCTGCTTGTCGCCTTTGGAGTTTTGCTTCACCCAGTGCGCAAAGATCAAAGAGCAGTGCATATTATCATTGCCAGCTGCCCTTCGCCACTAGAGATGGTGCAGGTGCTCAGCAAGCTGTAGCAAGTACTAGATGATATCTTGCCTAGGCAACTCTTCATGAATTGCATATGTCAGCCTTGTATGTTTTGCCCAACCGTACATTTTTTCGAGTTTTAAAATTTTGGTGGTTGCTCATCTTTTTATCTAAAGCAAATTGAACTTTTACACTCCCATTAATCTTTGAAACTTGTACAGGAGTATTTTATTTAACAAACAATTACAATCAACCAATGTCAAAGACGAATGTTATACATGCTTAAGGATGTTTTTGTACAACTCTTTTTAAATAGTGAAGATGTTTTGGCAAATAAATCTATCCAGTGATTCATTGTCACTGACTTCTGATCATCCCTAAGAAAGACAAAGACACAGATAAACAGAATGTACAAAGATAGAATTAATACAAAATTTGGCAACAGGACTTGCAAAGACAATATGCTATGCTACACAGCAAATCTCAAATCAGACTACATCACTCTACAAGTCTACAATTACGACATGTCGACACAATTTCTCTTTTGTACTACATATTGTAATGACTGCATTTATACACTTACGAAGCTGACTTGGGTATCTTGAATTGTTTCTTGACATACTGGGAAGCCTCCCAATCACCTCGATGGCACAATATTCTCAGCAAGGTCTCAGTATCAGCTCCTAGTTTACTTCTTCCTCCATGTCCAACTGTGGATTTCAAGTCTTCAATCAATTCTCGGGTCTGCAAACAGTGACAAGCAAAAAACCAAACATGAGGTTACAATAGACTGTTTATAACTCCCTCCCTCAGGAACTTCTAAAACCCTAGGTTTTTCAGTTTATATGACAAAGAGGCTGAAAATGTCAATCCTCATGATGCGTCAAATTAAAATTCACGTTTAATACAATGATTTAGCTTTGATTTAGAGGCATCAGTAGTGTCTGAATTGGTAAAACTAGCAAGAACATCTTTCATTCAGTTGGCACTTTCAGAAAAAGTTCCTCTTTCCATAGCAACCTGCTATTCTCATACTAACTTCCCCACCAACCTCTCCTGAAGTATCAAGAGGGCCAAGACCACCAAAACAGCTTAGCACGACTCCAGCCGTTAACGTGGTCTAAAGAGGTCAAGATGTGGACTCCTTATCCGTCTCACAGCTGAACCTCATTTTAAAGAATGAATGCTAAAACTTGTTTGACATGAATCACCATGAACTATGCCTACCAAACAAGATCAAAATTGCTAGCCTAGCTCCATGAACAAATTGCCCTGCTGCTAGACTTGGGAAGGTTAGGGTGAAGAGGGTCTTACCCTAATTACTAGTCAAGACTGGAAGCAGTAGAATTACCATGGATGAGAGTACGAGAAAAATTTAAGCCCAAAGTACCAGTATCCTAAATGAGACACTTTAAGAATATAACAAGTCCATAATCATCTGATTGGCATCAACATGGAACTAATCTTATCACTACAACTTACCTCATATCCGAGCAATTGTGTTATATGTCGTGCACGAGACACTAGATTTTCCACAACTCCTCGAGGAAGACCATCTCCTCCAGAAATAAAAAACTCCTGCAAAAACATACCGGAATTATAAGACTGAAACTTCAATGAACATGAGAAGCACTTCCGTTAAACAATAATTTTAGTTTCCAGACCTATGCATAGGTGGTTCTGATTAACATATTAGAGCTTGTTAATTTCACCTTGTTTCACATATCAGTATAAATTAATTAAGGGTTCTTTTACATGATAAGATTTACAATTTTTTTTCTTAAAAAGGCAAATATCAGATAAGCAAGTATTAAATCAATATTCGGACCACTAAACAATTCCATAATAGAGACATTTACATTTTAAAAAACTTGAAATCAGATTCAATTACACAAAATCAGATCAAATCACCACATTTCAAAAAATCAAACTGTTTAATTTCCAGTAGGAGATATATAACAGAATATATCTAGTACAGTTGGGACACTGGCTCTACCTTTAAAATATCTAAATCTTCTTCGATCAGTTTGGCGTCACTTTGGGAGAAGATACGAGATGGGCCTCCATCTAACAATACCCGTATCAGACCATCCTGAAAGATAATAAAGGTACTCAGGAAAAAAAATCCATGATATTACAAAGTGGACAGAGAACTAAGAAAGTAAGAAGTAAATTTAAGAAATGTGCAGAAAAAATTAGAAAAAAAAATTATTTTGCTTTCCCAAAGATAATTAATGAGGCACTGACAAGAGATGCTTGTAGAAGACTAGTCACGAGTCGATCACGTAGAGGCTCCATGATTATAACACATAACTGATTTAGTGCCTACAAAAAAAGGACTACAGTTTAACACCAGAAATGCAATCAATTCCAGAAATTTTCCAGACACAAATGCTGAAGAATGAAGAACAAACTTTACACTCATTTAGCTCATACAAACAATACCACACAGAATGCAATTTTAAGTCCTTACCAGGTCAAGCGGTTCAATTAATGCTTCCAATCTAGTTTGAGAGACACTGGGCTTGTACAAATTGTCAATAAACGGTTCCCTTAACTCACAAAAAATGATCTTGGTACCTACATTATATAGAAGAGAAACAAAGTCAAAAGCTACGTGGAGATATGTCGAGAAGGGTGGGACGAAAAGAAAGGGGATAAACAGTAAAAATTAAGTCAACTTAGGTGTTTTTATACACAAGTCAGTCTCACCAGTATATTCACAGATTCTGTCAATAGCAGCATTGAAATCTTTTCTGCTACCCTCAAAAGTGTTACTTTGGTTGAAGCCTTTTGAATTTTCATTGAAACTCTTCTCTGCAAATCCAAAAAAGTGAACAAACAGAAAAAGGTTGTAGAACAATGCTATTTGGAAGATTCTCTCTGCATATTTTTGAGGGGGCGGGGGGACTTGATCCTTTATTTCTTGGATGCACGTTTCATGTTACAATTGCTTCAAAGAAAATACTAAGCATTATATAATGTTATTTTATATCAGATTTCCTCAAATACACTCCGTTAGTCCCAAATTAAATAAAAATAAATAAAATTGCTAAGCTTAGCCATCTAAGACATGGGTGAAGTTGCACAGGAACTATACATAAAGTAGATACAACATATAAGTGATAGATGGTGCATATAGCAGTGATCACAAATTAAAACAAGTCGTTCTCTCACATAGCTTCCATATTTTCACATACAAGCAGTTCTAATGGTAAGAAAGATTTATGGGCCAAATTAAGTCAAGATGTTTAGGGAGGACTTTAAGTCAAGTTTGCAACAATATAACTCCTTACTTATGATAAACTTTTATAAGGCTTTGCAGCAAATCGACCCATTAACTAAGGCACCACTAATCTATGAGCTGCCTATTCAGAAGCTACAATCTATAATCTGAGCAATGGGGCAACTGAAGAATAAAAAAATGTGATGAAACATACTGGTAAACTTGTCAGTTGGCTTCTTCTTCAACCATCGCTCTGATATGCTGTCTTCCAGCTTACCAAGATGACTAACTGCATACTGTGATTGTAGAAGGATCCACATCAGCATATATTAGGGGAAAAAAGAACATCAAAGAGAAACCCAGATATGCTAAATTTTTATAATTGAAAAAGGATTTCATTTCTTTCATGATATCTGTCTCATTTGTCCAAGGCACAAATTTCAGAAACGCATAGAGGATTGGAGGGAGCATATATAATTCCATGTAAAAATACAACTTTTTATGTCCACTCTCTCTGCCCATTATTGGCCACACATCTGATTTGAGCACTTTAAAAATAATATGCCACTAATTAGCTATACACTTGTATTAATACCTTAAAGTAAAAACAAATTTCAAAAAAAGTCTACTGACTCCACAAGATGGGAAGTAAAAAGTTGCATACAAAAGGATAACTATAAGTCTATAATACCTTTTTTTTTTTTTTTAATTTTTATAAATGACTTCCAGTCAAACATGGCCTACAATTTAGGGTTGGAGGGAGTATCATTGGTCAAATATCAGTATAGGCAAACATCATCGTTACGATATCTCCCAACTCTTTTATTTATTAATTATTTTAATTTTATTGCAGTCGATCATTATTTCAATTTTTGCATTTTGAATGTTATATACTATAATTAGAATTTTGACAACATTCAGGATTTCACTCATTTCAGGGACATCCAGATTTGGAAAAATTGACAAGTAATGGCACTAAAAATGGAGATTTTTTTAATTATTATTATTATTATTTTTTTTTTTTTTTTTTTTTGAAGTTACAATCATGCAGATTGCTAGGAAAGAAACTATACTGTATAATGATTGATATCTGGAATATTATAGAAGATAACAAACAAAGTCATGCTGTCCAAACTTCATATCCTTGATTGGCCTAAAAAGTAATTTATTCATGCTTTAGTTTCACTTTCAATATCAGTGCAGTTATTGTTATCAACTTATCTCAACAACTCAGTACTGAACATTAGAAATATCTATAATAAATAACAAACATCATAATTTTGTCCAAAGTATGTTTCCGCATTTTTGAAAATCAGATTGTAGAAATAACAGAGATAATGGCATTTTTATTTTTTTTATGATCAACTTCACTACCCAAATATTTTCTTCAAATTAAAATTCAGTAATTTAATTTTAAAAAAAGAATCAACTTACATGAAGAGTATTTAGTTGAACACACAAAACTGGGGTAGGTAAAACACTGATCTCACTAGATTTTCTCTCTTCAGGGAGTTTTTGGTGGTCCAGAAGCTCTTTTTTCACAAAAGCCTTAATACCAGCTTCCTTCCGATATCGCGTGAGGATGGGCACAGGTGGCATGAGATCCTCTTTGCTGGCTATACATCAAGTCAAACAATAAAAATTACCAGAATTATTGACACCGATGAAGAGCATGTGTGATGAAAACATACAGAGAAAAGGTAAATTAATAATGTACTTACACCTTTGTAAAAGTAGACATGTTACATAGTTACTAGAAAATGAGAAAGCGAGATAATATGAAAATTGCCCCTAAACAGAAAAGATAAAGTTTTAGGTCTTCACTGCAGTTCTAGTTAGGATCAGCTCACTGCCAACAGTAGAGTATTCATTAAAATTTCCATCATATTAATCCCGTTAGCATCATCCCCAACCTATATAGTGCCTCCTTGCTGGTACCTTATGCCTCATGATAAAATACGGAAACATCCTCTGTTCTCATTGGTAGATGACACGTTGAACTAATATTAAAACGCCAAATTTGTAGAGTAGATTCACAACCAACAGGACTACTAAAAATCTAACATTATAATACAACCAGAAAAAAGCATGAATTTGCATATATAGCATGTACGCTTACCCAAATTAGCGACAATAAGATTAGAATACCCTTGAAATGCATTATCAATACCACGGCATAAGCTACTAAGCTCCCCAGAACCCATTGGAACTTTAAGATCAAAGAATTGGTCCACTGTCTGCATGATAAATAGAAATAAAATAAACAGAGTTAAAGACCTTTTCAACTTGGATGTAAATGGCCAATACACAAGGCCAATGTTGAAACAACATTAGGAGTGATAAATATTCATCATCCTCATAGTTGACAACAACCCTATCTATGTTGAAGAAGTAAGGCCAAAAAAAGAAATCAAGATAAGAGTTTGGGTGTTTGGTTATGTCAACTCCTTTGTATAGATACTAAACAAAATTGCCATTCATAGAAGAAGTAAGCTCCATATTAACACCAAGTAAATAATGGTGAAAATACCTCTTCGATAATCCTGTAGACTTCAACAATTGAAGTTCCATGGCACTGCTGAGGTGATACTGGATCCCATCTCTGTGGAAGTACAAGAATTAAAGATCATAATCCATGGTGGAGACAAGAAAGGAAATGGAATAATTAATAAGTAACAGAAAATGAAACACATCACTTAGTAAAAGCACTTTCTAATTTTTTATTTTTTATTTTTTAAAGATGAGTGAATTTTTTTTTCTATAGAAATAGAAATTGATATGTTACCCAAAAAAAAAAAATTATGAGAGCAATGATCTGGAATTCTGGACAGAAAATGATATGTTACCAAAAAAAATAATAAATAAATTCCTATAGAAACAATTTTTTTTTTCCTATAGAAACAGAAATTGATACATATTCTTTTGCATGGGAGCAATGATCTGGACAGGAAACCCAACTATAAACACTGAATTACACTCACAAAACTCAAGCCAATGAACTTTAAAGTGATGAATTTAAGGAACAGGATTTACGTGAAATGAAATTTAAGTATGACATTATTGGCAGTAGGAAGGCCTCAAAATTCAAAAAAAGATTGAGTGGGTGGGGTAGATGCTATACTTCAGGAAATTAAGTTTACACGGTTAGTGAAAATTAAGTAAAAAATATCACAGCATTATACCAATAGATAAATTTTACACAAACTAAGAAAACATCCTATTTACAGGCCATCAAGTTGACTGTCCTTCACGACTATTATGAGGCACAGATGGCCAACAATAAGGCCACATCTTCTGTATATAAGTGGCAGTACAAATGAGAATTAATTATTAATAACGCGCACAAGGTTGAGAATGACCTCAATTAAATAATAAATGAAAAGCTCCACTTAATGGTTCTGGCACATTGAGAGATGAATCCAGTAGCTACAGTGAGAAGATATCATCATTCAAAAGGAGTATACAAGAGATAGAACTAGGAAGAGCTAGGCACTAGTAGTCATATTAAACTAGGCATATCAAAAGCTTGTTGACAGAAATAGTTGTAATCCTTGCTAAGCAGCCACTAGCTAAATAGCTCTAATGGTTCATTGGGCCCTTACCTTTCCTGTCCTTCATAATTCTATTGCGTGCTTCATTTGTAATTACTAAATTTATAGCCTTTTAACCTATTTCTTCTGGCTAATGTTCTTTCATTTCCTCCCATTAGTATATTGAAGAAATGACTACCATATCTGCGAGGCTTCTACCACTATACTTTACCTGTTCAACTGTTCAAAAGTAATTGAAGATATTTCTTCCCATTAGAAGGTAGGCCATGTATGTCTCCCAAAAGTTCTTGTGGAATACTTCACAGTAGTACAATACAGATTTTTTTTAAAAGGATTCACTCAAATTCTGTAAGAACCCGAGTTTAACTTTGACAAATGACAGATGTGTAAAAAAGACTCCAAATTTGTACAGCACATATGCTTTCTTTTCCATAGTTGTTTTCAATCCATAATGCTTGCCAATGGGTGTTTACTGGATTCCATCTGCCCAAAAACCAAACAAGCCTATATCTTCAAGAAGAAATTACCATGTGCAGACACTAGACAGCACAATCAGCTATAAAGTATTTGCATCCATATAAGAATGATAAATGTGATGGAGGATCACCTTTTATCTTTCACAAACCTTGTGCTTGTCAGCCTTCTTTTATTTAACGTGCAAAGTGTCACCTTATATATCAAACTAGGACAAAATTCTAGCTATCCTTAATTTACTGAAGGTAAGAATAAAAAAATATAAGTAACTAGCTGCATGCGAAGTCTGCTTGGCAACCAATCTAATGAAACTACAGAAAAAAAAAAAAAAAACTATAAAATTCTGCAGAAAAGTTGAAATGAAAGAAATCTTTAGTTTCCACTTGGCTGTTCATCATGAAACTATGTAATAATATGCAGAGAGGGATTCAAATTCTGTAACTAGAGGCAAGGAAATGAACCAGATAAACATGGTGCTTAGATTTCCAGCCTATCCATCACTTTTGAAGGGGCAACAAAGGAGGCAAAAATAATTGAGAGGTTACACAAAGTCACAAATACACATAATTCCTCAGTTTTTACTAATACATAGTTTCTTGATCAACAAGCTAATGGTTTCCTTACATTTACACTTTCAAACAGATGTCCTCATAAACTTAGAGTTCCCAAACACAGAGTACATATATGGGTTATAATCATAAGTGAAAGAAATACATGCATTAAAAAAACATAAGAAAGCTATGTAGTTACCTCCTGTTGAATGGCACGCTCAACCCAGTTCTGTATCCTTTGCAGCTGTGCATTGACCCAGCGCATTACTAATGTTCCAGATAAACTTTCGATCTACACAAAGGAAGGAAGAACCAATAAAGTGAATCAACATACCCAAGAATATGATCTATGAAATAGGAAAAAAAAAATGGAAAATCCACAAAAAGCCTGATTCCAGTCATGAAATTCAAAAAGAAAGAGTGATTTTAGTTGGTACAGAGATAAAAGGCATCTTCACCCAGAAACACACTAGCAACTTAGATGAATTAACATAAGAAATATCAATATCTAGTTAGACTTTATTATATTATTCCCTCCATTCAAAATCAAAAGCCAACTTAAAAGCAAAACTATAGAGGGACAAGAAGCTCACAGTCAAACAATTGGAAAATGCTTGATTTCAGAAATCAAACACCCTTTCATTATAAAGAGCTATATAAACACTTCTGTGTCTTCAGTCTAGAAACATACTTGCAAATTCCAGCAATATGTGGAATCTTCATATTCCAGTTCATTATAAGATATACTCCTTCAAATCCTTTTTGTTTCTCCCATTTGGAATCATTTTGTGAAACAAAAAAATGTCAAAGTGGGAAGAACAATTAGGATTAAAAAGAGTAGAATAATAGATTCTCCATTGAATTGATACCACGCATTGATTTATTGTTTCGTAATCCATGTAATAGCTTCTCTAATAATAGAAACTCAATGCTCAGATACAACACACTTGCTCGTCAACCCGTAGCTCAAATTATGTTGATCTTTCAAATTGCATACCTATAGATCCTACTGAATAAACAATGACCATGATTATTGACGATTCTTCCAGCCATGTTAATCCTCTCTCTCTCTCTCTTGACTCTTAAACATCATCTCCTTCACTTGAGGCTATTCAACCAAGGTGAAACTCCAAGACCACAAACATCATATTTGGAAGGAAAGTCTTCATCTAAATTAACTTATCCTTAAAGCGAAAATCATTAATACCTATATTAAGCATGATGCTTGACAGAACTCAAGATGCCCAAACATCTCTTCGAACAACATGCAATTTCTGTTAAGATATTTGGTAATATCTCAAAGTCAGAAGGAAGATTGTGGTGCTTTTTCTTGCTACCAAATAATCTCGTTGGTCAAAGAAGTTTGTTAGGTTTCAGATTTTGAATTACCAACTAAATACACCAATAAACCATAAATACTGTAAATGAACATGAAAATTATTAGAACAATAAAATGTCATCGTGGACCAAAACACAAATGGACAACTAACAAAATTGATGAATCACAAAGTCAATCACTCAATTGGCAACTACATGAGCATGTAACACTACATATTTTGACCATTTCTAGAAATAAATGTACTGTAAACAGCATCTACTCACCTGATATCTCCCAAGTTTTTTGCAGTATGTCTCAGAAACCTCTTCACCAAAAGTAGAAGTCAAAAGGCCCAGAATATGCTGCTCAAGACTATGAGCTGCTGGAAATACAGATACTATATCCTCAGTCAAATGCTCAGCACCATCAAGGAATGGTTTCTAGAGAAATAATTACAGGCCGTTACTCTTTTGTAAAACCACATTTATAGGAATGGACAAGGAAGAACACCGAGAAACATATCCAGGAGAGAGACATAAACGTACCAATTTCATTCCATAAAGCTTGTGAAGAAGAGATGTTGAAACAACAAGTGCTTGTGGATGCCACCAAGACAAAACTGGGACAAACAATGTAGTCTCTTTCTTCAGTAATTTCCTAATTTCTTCAGCAAGCAACGTCAATGGATGTTCATGCACTGTTTCTGAAGTTGTGTCAACTGCATGTAACGTCTGCAGGGTCATAAAATCTTTTAACGTCTGCAGGATAAGTTCTCCATACAAAATCAATGTACAAAACAAGTAAAGCTTAGTCACATGTTATCCCAGAATAACATCGATGGAAGCAAGCCACAGACCCCTATCCCAAGTTATTTGACCTGACATTCTCTCCGACCATGAAGTCTAAAGGAGGACCATTTTCAACAGGGATAAAGCTTAGGTCAACATTAAGCATGTTTAGAGAGCAATTTTATGAATTCTGGCAAGAAGTGCACCGCTACGTAACGAACAATCGTATAAGACCAATGAAGCTACAGTACATATAAATACTCCCTCCGTTCCCGAAAAGTCAACTCACTATAGACTATTGTCTTTTATTTTATTTTTTTTTTTGAAAAGTTTGAGAAAAGTGTGTGTTTGTGTGTAAGATAAAAATGTATTAAGTATGAGAGAGAGAGTAAGAGGAGGGTGAGTGTAATAAAAAGGTGGATAAAATAAGAGAGAGGGAATGGAAAGATGAAAATAGTGTGGGGTAAAAGGGGTGAGGTAGTAAAAAAGGTATGACAAAAACCGGAATAATTAAAGTTATTCAAACTTTCTAAAACCACCAAAATGAAAAGTGAGACAAACTTTCGGGATTATGAAAAAATAAAATAGAACATTATGATTAAAGCAAGCAAGAGCCAAGTAAGATCCTTAACCTACAGTATTTTTTGGATATCATACATAGAGAAAATACATTATGAGTATCAACTAGCATTCCTCAGTTGTATGTGCAATATTCTAGAATCATTACCCTCATAATAATACCAATATACCCATACAATGCATAAATCATCTACCCCTCAAAATGATACCAATCAAAACTTTTAAGCCCATCATACAGAAAATAAAATTCTCAAACATGCATCTTCAATAGGCATCTTAAGCAAATTGAGTGACTTACCCGGGCAAATACACTTTTAATTGACGAGTTTACATACGATTCAATCTGTTCCTGATCGCTGATAGTAGACTGCATGAATTTTCAAGGGGGGAAAGGAGGAAAATGTTAGCCTAGTAAATAAAAAGAATTACTCTGACATGGGAAAAGGACAAAGAAATACTTTTAAGAGTTGTTTTACATAAAGAAGGGAAACAGGAAACATACAGATTCTGATTCCTCCACAAGTAGTCTGCGAGAAACCATTGCGACAGTTGCAATATTCTCCATCTTGTGTGAATCCTATCAGATATATATAAAAATAAAATAAAAAAACTTCTAACTTCTCATTCGGAGTAGCATAAGGAAACAATAGCAAAATGGAACATTGAGGGCAAAATGATATCACAAATAATAGTGTCTAGTACTTCAGAATATGTTTAATCAAATGAATATGCAGATGCAACAATTGATTCAAGCAAAGCCTGTTCTGTTAAATTAAGGCTTTTCTCAAAATAATTTTCACTTGTCGTTTCACTAAAAGGAATTCTGCATCAGGTGATTCAAACACACCCCAACAAATCTGTTATAGGTTGTTATAATACCACATCAACAATCCTAAACTCATGATTCATTAATATAATCATTACATGTATTGAAAGTTAAAACTTTTACAATTCACGCTTGGTTTCGTCACTAAAATAACATATAGATTTGGAAAGAACATTTTTAAGTAATAACTAGAAAAGAAAATATTGAAAGAAACACTTGAGCTATGCGGAAGAAGAGATAATTTTCCAATTTGTCAATTCTCAAGCAAAAGCAACACCCACCATTGCCGATTAAATGTGTACACACAACTTTTTGACAATATATGACTGCTAGTCTGCTATTGCTCTACATACATAGGTGTGTGACTAAATTAAGGTTCCATAGCTTGAGAAGTTCAATAGGGAGGTGTTTTAGATGATAGAAATCCAGGTATATAATGCTCTGTCGGTCTGCCTCTTTCTACACTATGAGTGTGTACAAGTTTGGTTTGTCACAAAATCTACATGCATGTGCATTTCCATGCTTGAATCAGCATATATGAGCATTAATTTCAGTATGGTTAAAGCGTCTTCAAATGCATGTAAGAAAAATTTAAAGATATGTCTACTGTTGAATTCTTGTTATAAGGTAGGTTAATTGAGTTCGTTTTTAAAAGTATAAAAAATAACGTTACTAACTTATACTCCATAGTTCTGTATTCTAAACATGGTTTGGTAGTATTTTGCAAGAGAATTGAAAAAAAGGGGAGAAAGAGAGAGAGGGGCTTTGTAGATTGTAGTGAATTCAATATCTAAGGATCAGTCATATATAAAAAAAAAAAAAAAAAAAACGCATGACAAAATTTCATCATTTCAGGAAAGATTCATAGTGGGTAAGATATAGAAAATAATAAGAAAAGTGGGTAAGCATTAAATTAATAGAGGGATGATAAATTAGGTACAAGAATTGTCCTAATGAATCACACATGGAAAGAGGCAGGATAAATTTAGAAGGATGAGAAGGCATCTGGATTGTTCAATGATTTAAATTTAATGATAGATAGTAGCATCATCCATAAATGGCATAATTTGTAATTTCTCGCAACCTATGCAGCTGAACCAAAAGATTAGAAGAAAAAAAGTTCCCTGAGCATATTCGATTGCATATCAAGAAGGGAACCCAATTAAAAATAGTAGCACATGATTTTGATCTGAAATTACACGTTACAACAATTTGGTTCTGATTCCAACAACATTTTGTATTGTTCAACCAGTATCTAAAAACAAAACAAACACACAAAGTGACAACAAGTTAATATACATGTGTGACTATTACATAAAATGGTTATTCAAACAAATTACAAATAGCGCTCTGACTAAGGTTTCTTAGACAAATTTCAGAGACATATACATGATGTTTTTGAATCAATAGTAAATCTCAAAGTATCACGAAAAAAAAAAGCAAGCAAGCAAAATTGAGCATAATTTAAAAATTAAAAAAAGAAAGAAAGAAAAATGCATAAGCATATTAAAAGCCTTGCTGAAAGAGTGATGACTGACCCAAAATCCACATATAAAACTAACTTTAACTGAAATGATAAATGAACACGGCACACCACAAGCTCAGCAATTGCCTCAGCTATATTAGTAAAGATCTCAATTCATGTATGTAACTGACCTCGGAAAAATGCAGGTGATAGTCTGCAAGCTGTCTATTAGCCCACCTCTGGATTGGCCCAAGGAATGCTTGAAGAAAAGATGTACTTTGGGATCCTGTTTCACAATCTGTCTTTGATTGCAAGCTATTCAAGTGCAACCTCTCCTGTGGGCCACGTTGTTCTTTTAAAGGGATTCTCTTCAACTGCTCAATGGCATGTTGAAGCATTCCTTTCTCACTTGTAATCACATACTGTAATGCAATACCCCAAATGACTATAAGTAATAAGCAATTATTGAATGAATATATATGAGTATATATTAATATAAATGACCGTCAAGTATTGCTAGAAATATCAAAGAGATATAGCAGTACAAAACAACTAAAGATGAATACATAGAAAAACAAAGAGGCAAAACATAGGAAAAATTTTGTACAACTAGCAGGCCACGGGTTTACAAATGCAACAGATTCAGCCAAAAAGAGGAGACAAAGAACACACAAATAAAAAAATAAATAAATAATCTTTGCTCTTTAGCCAATTACACCGTGGATAACAGAATTATTGACCTAAGGCTTTAGAAGAAGATTCGGCAGGGAACACCTTTCTGTATTTCTTTTCCAAGCTTCTAACAAATATCACATAATTCATCATGCAACTACTTCGACTTTCTTGTGCCATTATGGGAGCAATACTTCTTAAGACATCTTTATTATAAGAAGAACCTTATTGATTGGGAGTTAAGTAAGCTTGCAAACTTGTAGGATGAACATGATACTTTTTTTTTCACTAGGCACACTTGTGAGATTAAAGAGTGCGGTCTTGATGGTCATGTGATTCTTCTTCTGGTGTTTTCACACGTCATACTTCCTATAACTATTTACAAATTTAAAAAAATAAAAAAAATAAAATAAAAAATTATTTTAAAAAAGTCCACAACATTTTACAGCTTCGAAATTCAACTAGAACTTTAACAAGCCAAGATTCCAAAAAGCTTGCAAAGTGCATCAAAGTGCAAAGGGTTCCTAGAGCCTAGGCGTATGCCTATCATAATCAAGGCACAAAATTTAGTAAAATTTCTTTAAAAATATTCCCACCAACAAAAACATGGTAGCAATAAATGAATTAATAATAGCACAAATACTATTAGTTATAGTTCGCCACACATTTATAAAATGAAATGCAGTACAAAGTAGCATTTTTGATTATTTTTAAAAGGGAAGATAAGAAAATGACATTTGGGGGGGGGGGTGTGGAAGCTCTGTAAGTAATAGGAAAAAATATGGAGGCTGTCAAATGTGTCAAATACATCACATAAAAAGGAGGGAGGGGTGGGGGGGGGGGGAGGGGTACATGTCACATTGATGCTAGCAGGGGGGGAGTGGTGGGACATCACCTAACAGTCTAACAGAATACCAAGATTAAACACTCTGACAGAAGAGCAAGACCACTTTTCATCCTAATTTCGTAAGAAACTTAAAGAGCTCCAACTCTGACAAAAAAGATCTCCAAACAGAAAATATATGAGAATTGCTTCTTTTTTTCTTTCTTCTTCTTATTGTTTGACAAGAATGAACACTGATAGAGTTTGCTGTTTTGGCAGATAAGAGAACAGAGCACTCTTAATGATTCATCCAACCAAAGCATTTATATAATCTGTTCTTTAGAAATCAATTTCCTTTAGCTACTTATTTTGTTTATCACTTCGATTAGCTGACAAAATGCCAGCTAAAATTATCCTTTAATCCAAAACAATTGTCTCAATTCCAAATGAAAATTATGTTAAGCAAGATTTATCAAAGATAAATGATGTAGGAATTGCGACATCATGTATACTCACATTGATATTAATTGGGAAAAGTTTACAGTTTTTGTAAAGTAAAAGCTTGTTTTGTTTAGGATAACCAATAAAATACTCTCATGATGTCTCACTTTCTGTTTATGGTTTTTTTCTTTCATTTTTGGCATACCCCTATACCATCTTACCCTTCTTATCCCACAATATATACCTTTCCAAACTCTCTCTCTTACTTTTTCTTACACCCACTCAACCTTTTCCATACACAAACACACACACACACAAAAGAAACAGAATCATCAATGATTTTCAGGTATTATATTTAATGCAATGCTAATTTATTAGGCATAATTTCAATGAGTTCAAGGTAAAGGAGTATCATAAATCATATACCTGACGAAATAATACCCAAGCATAACATGTATAGTGGATGGTCTCTGTTATTCCCAACACACGCCATGTTGCCTTCAGAAGCTCAAGAATCTCTTCCACTTCCTGTATTACAGATGGGTTATTGGAAATAGAAATGCTAAGATATGCACTATACCAGCCAATTCAAAAGATCAAACCAAAAAGGAATCCAAAAGGGCTGACTCATGACTTCATGAGAACCGTACCCTAAACATATCAACCTTCAGCAAAATAAAAGGTAATAAAGTGACATGCTTTGAGAGGCTAGGGAGGCCTACATCCTACATTTATCATAGATGAATTATACTAAGAAATGAAATTAATTATCTCAAATGGTCAGTAGATTTATTCCATTCAACTCAAAGATTCTACATGAGTATGGTTGTAAACTTGTAAACATCCAAACCTCCTTTATAAAAGCAACATAACCCCAAAGTCCCAACTCCAAAATGCCTCTATCAATATTCCTTCTCTGTGCGGGGTAAGAAGGTCAGAGGTCAGCAGCTTTGCCCATGTGATAACACAGAGGTTGTTTCTGATTGACCATTAATGTGATACACAGCAACTCAAGGATTAAGCACAGGGTAAATTCCAATGAGAATCATTTATAAAGCTGATAAGCTAAAAGCCACGATTCTGAGACTTCTTAGTCTATCATCATGGAATAATATTACAAGGAAATACCATACGTTCGTTTTCAATTCCCAGCATCCCCAGATTTTTTTTTTTTTTTTTTTGAGGGCAGGAACTATGAATACTGACCTCTGTAAGCTTTCCCTCATCCAGAATGTCAAAGACACTAAGCAGCAACTTCTCATACAGCCGAACATTAAGATGATAACCATCAGCCCAGTGACAAATTTCACCAGTTAAGTCACCACGAGCTGCCCTTTCTGCAAGAGTATTAGAAACATCCCTAAGAGATTTTAAACATTCCGACCTTTGAAGTTCTCCTGTAGTTGCTGGAAGGAACTGAAAAAAAATACAAATATATGTATGAAGTAAGATTAAGGCAATTCATTATACTCGGGGAAAAGAGGAAACAAAACATCTTATCAGACAGATGTACCTAAATTTTTCTTCACTAGCTGTGTCAATAAAGACAAGCAATAAGATGAATTGAGCCAATATACTGGCAAAGTCAACCAAAGTGTAAAGTTGAGTATTAGGTATACAAGTCATATGGCAAAGAGCAAGTGAAAGCTAAAAAATACCAAACAAAATAATTGCATTTTTCTGTGTACCCATTCATTGTTGACTCTTGTTTCTAGGAGAGTTGAGTTGATGTACAAAAAAGGTGGATAAAGTAAGAGAATAAAAAGGTGGGTAGGTGGGTGTAAGAAAAGGGGGAATATAACAAGTCAGAGTGAGTGAGTGAGTGGAAGGTGTTAATATTGTGGAGTAAGGGGGTATGATAGTAAAATTTGCATATCCAAAATAAAATTTAAGTAGAAATAACTCAAATAAGTACATCAAATAGAAACACCTCTAAACGGAATATGGGTACATCTTTCGTAAACGGAGGGAGTAATTAAACGACAAAAAATAAAGAATATCTCAAATGCTTTTATTTCTGCCTCTTTTGTTCATTATGCAACAGTATTATATACTAGTTGTTAAAATCGTGCGTTGCCAGACCAGGTTACTCGCATCACATTGTCACACAGGTTTGTAGAATGTTGCTGCATATTGGCATTGATAAGAATAATAAAAATTGATCAGAAAATTTAAACCCTCCCTACATAAAACTTATATTCAAGTCATCTTTTAAATTACCTAATAAGTCTTCTTCAACAATAAAAATAAAATTGTTTAATCCATTCATTTTATCATGTTATTAAAACCCCAACTTATCGTACATGAATTAAAATAAATATTAGATAAGTATAAAAATATATGAGGTACCGCTTCCAATGCCATGGAAATATTTCTTTGACATATATATTATATGAAATTTTGTACACTAACACGCACATAAGTTGGATCAAAATATATTATCTTTAAACTTGTAAAAGTTTCATAATGAATTTTGTTGTAAAGTAATTCTTAAGATACGTCACAAGGTATGTTGAATAAATCCTCTATGCCATAAATATTGCTACGTTTACCATTTAAAGAAGTTTCATAAATATTGCAATGTTTCTTTATAGACAACAAATACCCAACATGCCCTTACTAGCAACACTTAAGTTCCTTACCCACTTGGGTTTTGTGGGTAATGCATGCCTTTCCCCTTTTACCATTTACTCTATCTATCCCTATTTGTTTGCCCCATATGATTTATCATGATCTCCAAGACACGTTTTAAAACGTAAATATCTCCTAACTCTGTTTATGCAAATATTATTAAAATGTGATATTACAAAAATAGACATTGAAACAAATCCAGCAGGATTCCATACGACTATATCATTTCTTCTATATTAGTGATTATTTGTGGTCAAATAATTAAAAAAAATTGACTTACACTAAATCTAAATTTGTAAATTCCTTCACTAACCAACAAGCACCATAAGAGATATAGTCACATTGACCAAAGCACATTTATTGTAGTTTTAGATTGAGAACACCATCAACACAGAGATTTTAATATATAATGGGCCCAATTGCAACAATATTTCACTCCAATAAGTGAGTAAGAAGAGCTTTGAATTACTGGGATAAACAAGAACAATATTTGGAGGGTGACACAGAGAAAGTCGTACAAGAATACCCACCTCAGATTCCTCGATTTTAGCTAGAAGAATCCTCACTTCATTGGCCTTCCGTCCAGATTCACCAAAACCAACAACGGGATGATTAATGAGCCCCTCCTCCAACATGTTTAACTACACTGACACAAAATTATATAGAGCATAGATATCAATTGTAGAATATCTAGAAACTAGCATCATGGTGTCAACCATAAACCAAGAGATGGACCCTATGCATATATAAATTTGTCCAAATTCATGCCAGTAAAAAGTGTGGAGGCAAGTATTAACTACAGAAACGGCAGTGACAGCACGCACAGGGTAAGTGAAAGAAACGGAGGATGTTACCTGTCTTTTCTGCCACCGTATATATGCCTTTTTGTCAGGAAACTCTGTGCGCGAAATACAGCATAACAATTCCAAAGGTACTAAAAGGGTATCCATTCTTTTTCCTGCCTTTCCAGCAAGAGCATTAAGCAAGCCCTGTCTTGTTCTGATATCCATAGCTTCTGAAATCTGAATTTAAAAGCCAAAATAAGGTAGAAAAGGCAACATTTTAGCATGCTATCTAACTTTAAAATCAGAGATGTGTCAGATGCCAGATGAATCTAATTCTAACACGGTTTGAAATATTCTTAACAAGCTTACTCTCTCACTCCAACATGCTAACTTGGATTATAGTGAGCAGCAATTTATTCAGCATTTTGGACCCAGGTTCCTACAACCCACACCCGGGGAATACATTCGACTAGTCATGAAACAAGGCCTATACCCTTTGTTAAAATATTACTTATTTCCCCACCCACACCCTTAATGAACCATATTTTAGTCCAAGATAATTCAACATACTAAATCCCCAATAATGTCATGTTATAACCATATTAGCTTTATTTTTCTCCTCACCAACCCTTAAAAATTTTGACCTTTAGAAGTAAGTGAGTAAGTGACTACCCACAAGGCCAAAGCACTAATATATATATTATTTTACAACGCACAAGTCAGATTTACATCCAAGATTAGCACAAGGGACTAAGTAGAAATCGCTTGGTTATATAAGATACTCTTTTCAATAAATAATTCAAGGCTTTTACACTGTGTCACTTTAAGGACCACAATTGAATTTCAGCTCCATACAACAGTTACAAGAACAAATAAGGAAGCTGTTAGAACTGCCCTCTTGATTAGAAACAGGGTCAACAAAATGGAAACAATTATGGATGGAGACTAAAAGCTTTAAGGACTTACCTCCATTTGAACCCGCATAGTCTCTAACAAACCAACCAAGCCAGGTGCACGTTGGGGCTCAGCTGCAACATGCTCAGTTTTACTACGCCCAAGCTTTTTCAGTAGTTTGGATGACTTTTTCTCTTTCTTCTTTTCCTTTGATGGTACTATGAGGCCTCTACTCATCAGATACAGGGAGATGCAGAATGAGAAAGATGCTCATTGATTAGAAGAGGAAAGGGAAGGAATGCAATGACATTATTGTGCATTATCTGATAGTACATGATGATCAAATGAATATAATGTGCAGCCCATGACTGACAGCATACCCTGAAGCTCCAGCACATGCTAAAAGGATCTCATAAGCAGTTTCACGAAGATCATCATCAGTGATACCTGTGAACATAAAAATCAAAATATTAGCATTCCCATCATGACAAAACATCTTCCTAAAGAAATTTTATAAATATGAATCATCAGCCTTATGCAGCAATAGATAATTATTTGAAATATACTTGTGGGAAATGTAACGCAGAAGCATTTGTCAGAGCGAAACTTCACTAGCAGACAAAGCACAATAGAGAGAGGATTCGTTAGTTGTATTTAATATATTCATGCACTTCAACCACTTTCATAATTAAGTCCTTAGTATATTCAAAGCAATATCTCACAATGGCAAATATATATTTTACATGATCAATCTATCTATATAATACCTTTGTTCTTTGAAGTTCCATCAAACTCCTGTAGGTACGTAGTTTAATGCAATAAGAGAGAGTATAAGTTTTGGTGCCACTTGCTTCATTTACTTAATTACAGAAAGAAGAAAAAGCGGAGTTTAATACATTTCAAGGAAAAGAGGGAGAGAGTAGGCCAAAGGTCCATAAATAAATATACTCCCACCGCTTCCGTAAGTTTGACTAGCTTACTATAGACTCTTATTTCTAGGAATGCTTTGGATAAATTGGGTAGGTATAAGAAAAAAGTGAAGTAAGAGAGATGGAGTAAAAAGGTGGGTGGGCGTAAGAAAATGGCAGATAAAGTAAGAGAGAGAGTGTGTGTATGTGTGTATAAAAAGGTGTAAATAGTGTGAGTTAGGAAGGATAAACTAGTATAAAGGGCTGCCAAAAAAGGAATAAAGTAGAAATAAGTCCAACTTTTTGAAACAATACAAAATGGAAAGCAAGTCGAACTTTCGAGAATGCACGGAGTATAGAGTTTACGAGTAGAAGGAAATATCTAAGTGGGTAGAAGTCGTAGAACTTCAAAGAACAAACCAAAGCGGAAAGTGAGTAAAACTTCATATGAAGTTTGTAGATTCTTTTCCACGAAAGTGATTCATATTAGTGAAGCACCTCTATTCCAATTTAGGTTTTTCAATTTATTACTTTTCATGCTATTTATAATATACTTGCAACAATTAATATCTCACAAGGGTATAAGTTTTGACCATTCCAAAAGCATACAGCTCAAATCCACTTCATAGATCAAGCCCGAAAAACATTAGCTATCACTTTGGCTGTTTTCTTAAATAATTTGAGAGAGTAGTGTAGTCGTGTAGACCATTTAATGCCAAGGATGACTTTCCAAAGACGACCAGTCTACTACTCGTTTTGTAAAAGTTTCCAATTACATCCTGGAATATTCTACCACGTGTTTAATTTGAAGATCTTGCACATACGCATTTTTGAAGGAACTTTGAATATTCATGTGCTCAGAACATAAATTCAGAAAGCAAGCTTCAAGAATTATGGCCCAAGCTATGGTGTTGGTGCAATTGATTCAAGAGGAAATTTTATCAATCCAGCTACTGGTAATCCAGTTCTAATCATTTTTAATTCTTAACTATCAACATAAGGCTCATTTGATGAAAATTTTCTTTAATCATCGAATTTTTTCTCTCCTTTTTTTTATTATCATCATAAGCCATAAGGAGTACTAAGCATACATAAATCTTGGAGATTTGGTAGTAGTAGTAGTAGTAGAGATCTACAAAAACAGGCCTTTATCACCTTGCACATGCATCAACCACTACTAATCACAAGCAATATATCGAATAACCATTCTAGATAATACACTATCTTAACTGAAAACCACTGATGTGGCAACAATTTTTTCAGAATATTCAGCACTCAAGACTCAAACATTACGTGGATTGTCAGTATTAATCTTAAATGCAAGCAGGCTCTGCTTATAAGACATGGAAATAACATGCATGACATAAATGCCTAACCATACTTGCCTGTAGCAAAACTTGGTAATACTGCCACAAGATCAGACGCATCATTTGGCATTCGCCTTGAAACTCTTCTGCTATCAACTTCTTCCAAGTCGTCATCATCCTCAAAGTCCTCAATGTCGTCCACTGTCAACTCTTTAGCTTGATTTGAACTGAAAGATTCAGCCTGAGACATACTCCTCCTAGACAGAAAATCAACATTTGAAGACGGATCTTGCATAGAAGGCTCTGAGTTCGATTCCATGTCGTCATCAACCGACTCCGATTTTGACAAACTCGGAAGAATGGTTGATGGGGCAACTAATGGTGCTGGTGGTGGTGCTCGTCTCGGGGGTGAACCAGAAAGTTCATGGTTTGTAACAAGAAAATACTCATCACTAGCCCCTCCATTATTCTGCAAAGATAACGACCACAATTATTATACAACAACAGACCTTACAAGTACTCTCATAGTCTCATGCCACCATTGAATTAGTTAAGCATTATCTCACCATAAAAGGGAACTCTGAACCATCATGATAATCTCTGATAGCTTCAGAGAGTTCAAGCATTTCACCTACATTATTAACATCAATGAAATAAGCAAACATCCAATCAAAAACAATTAATACAACAGTTAGCGTTTCGAGTTCAAACAAAGCTTAACATCCCACCTTTTCTAACACAGTTCAGAACATAATCAACACTGACTTGATCTAGATCCACATCATCTAATGAAACAGCCCCAGGAGGAAGTATAACTTTCTTAATCAAACTACCAGAAAGCATAAAATTCAGAAGCACACGCCGGTCACGTCGATATCGTTGTAGAAGCTCTAGCTCACTCTCCCTAATACAACAATACAAATTAAAAACCCACCAAAAGAATATGACAATTCCACATTGCAGAAATCAAAGCAATATGATTTAAACAGAAATGAAATGGAGTATTCCACATACCCTTCCATTGAATTCAGTTGCAAATGTATGCACCACCAATTTTACCTAGCAAAAGAAGTAATCTCACCCAATATCAAAATCCCATCAGAAAAATAATAATTAAATAAATTTTGAAATTTTTTGAAAATATATCAAATGTTAAGATTTCATGTAACTACATCAAGATTAACAGACCCAATTTGACAAATAGCTTCATCAAATAAAACCATCATTGATGTAAAAATACTCCAAAATCTATGAAAAAATTGATAAATTCAGCATTATAATCATGACAATATTCAAGAATTAAAAATGACAACGGATCTAAATATAAAGAAAAAAGATTAAAGGGTTTCATAAAGAATCAATGGAAGTCGCCATTTTTACAAGCTTACTTACCAGGAAAAGGCAACAAATCAAGTTCACTGCATTCTGAAACTACAGTACGAGAAGAGGGATTCGAGAAAGAGAGGAGAGAGAAAGGGATTGAGTCAGCAAGAGTGGTGGATTTAGTTGGATTTTAGTTTTAACAAAAAAAAAAAAAAAAAAAAAAGGTTTATTTTTGTTTTTGCGGCTATTTAATTTAAGGCAAATGTTATCTTCCTCCGTTACGTATTATGTGCAACATTTGTTAAAAAGGAAAATTACACATTACGTGCAATAAACTTTTTCTTTTCTTTTTTAGTAAGTTTTTATAAATGAAATTACTATAATACCCCCTGTTTAAGAACTAAAAGCATTTTTTTATTTACTAATTTAAATTAATTAGATTACTTAACATATAATTAGAAAAAAAAAACTCCTTTCCTCTGTCTACAACTGCCACCACCACCATCGTCACCAACCACCCATGAGAACCACCGTACCAGACCATCAACACCTTCGACACCAGACCACCGACATTTAGGCCACCATAAACACCTTCGACACCGGACCATTACAACCACCAACATCAACTTTTTCATCTTCATTTAGGTTTCATCTTCCCTACCGCCGCCGCCGCCACCACTAGAGTTGTACACCGGTCCAAAACCGGACCGGACCTGAATGGACCGGGACTTGAATCATTGATTTTTAAGGACTGGAGATGGGACCTGAATCAACAGGTCCGGTTCAGGTCCAGACTTGAAAAATCAGGTCCCGTTCAGGTCTAGACCTGAAAAATCAGGTCCAGTCCGGGTTTGAACCTAAATAAACCTGATTATTAATTTGTCTCGTTTTTTTTTTTAATTTTTTAAATAAAAAACCTGTTGAACATGTTTATGGACCTGTTTAGACCTAATATGGACCTGTTTGGACCTATTTAGACTTGTTAGATAAAAAAATACCAACTTTACCGATTTCAGGTCAAGACCTAAAAAATTTCGGGTTTTATCCGGACCGGACTTGAAACCCGAAATCATGGATTTTTAAGGACCGAGATCGGACCTAAAACCCGGAATCATGGATTTTTAAGGACCGAGACCGGACCTAAATTCACCGGTCCGATTCCGAACAGGTCCACTTCAGGTCGATTTTCAGGTCCAGGCCAGTTTGTGTACACCACCACCACTAGTTGTAGTCTTCTTCGTTTGGATTAAGGATCTTAGATCGAAACGAAAGAGAAAGAGAATTGGGTATGCGATTTCGCTGGTGGATTTCAGATCTAAGATCTCAGATCTAAAGCTCGGGATTTCGCTGGTACGGTGTTTTCGTGGTGGATTTCTCTGGTGGTGGGGATTTCGGGATTTCGTTGGTGGTGGTGGTGGTTTCAGGATTTCGCTAGTGGTTTCTAGTTTTGTGGTGGATTTCGCTGGTGGTGGGGGTTTCTGGTTGTGGTGCTGGTGGTGGAGTTTCTGGTTGTGGTGCTGGTGGTGAAGGTTCAGGTGGAGTACGAATATAATAGTGGTGGTGGAAGGGTGTTAGTTGGTGGTGATGTGGTGGATTATTAGTCATACCATTCTCTCTCCTTCACATAATCACTTACCCTTCAATCTTACTAATCAAGGCTTAATATCTTTTGTCTTGGAGTTCGTGCAGTGTCAACCTATTTGTTGCGGATAATACGTAACGGAGGAAGTATGTAGCTCTTAGGACTATATATAAGAATTAATATTGTCTAGATTCTTTTATATTTTCAATATTAAAAATGAATGCTATTGAAAACAAAAGTAAGCAATACAAGGTACTTATTACCCTTGCAATTAATTAACAGTTGCACATACCCCATCAATTACCAATGCTAATGGCTCTTTTCTATTCTATCTCTACAACTTTGTCGCCTAAAATTTGCTCTGCCTTTTCATCTTTCTTCAATTACCTTTCATGGAAATATAAAAGTAGAAATTTACTCTATATGCAACACAACTCATATTTATTTTTATTAGAGACACATACTCGTCCAATTATCCATGCCCACCAAACAACAACTTTCGAACGTTTTTCCAATTTGAGCTCTAAACGTAAACTATTGACAAAAATGGTAGCGTGGAAAAACTATTTACCAAACTAAGCTTCCAGGGTAAATCGCTGTCTCGGACAGCGTTTTACCCCTGGTATTTTTTTAAAAAAAATTCAACTAGTAAACGCTGTCCCAGACAGCGTTTTACCTTCTGTATTTTTTTAAATTCAGTAGGGCATAAAACGCTGTCTCGGACAGCGTTTTATCCTTGGGTTTTTTTTAAAAAAAAATTCAACTACAACTATTTTATATGTTCAACATAAAGCGCTGACTCAGACAGCGCTTTATGCTTGAACATAAAACGCTGTCTCAGACAGCGCTTTTCTGCTGGAAACAGCAACCAGCATCCAGGCAGAAAACAAGCTTCAGCAAACAGCTTGCATGCTGCAGTCCTCCAACAGCCACCACAACAGCCAGCTCCACAGCCCTACCCCACCACCGTCGACCACCAACTCCGCCACTCCCCACCACGTACCACCACCATATTCTGGGAGTTCCGTCAACTTTAAGCACTGCAGAAAACTCGAAACAGCCCAACAACAGTCCAACCACCAAATTAACTTCAAAGCACACACGGAGTCATTCAAAAAAGATTTATTATATTAATTTCATAAGTGTTATGTACATCATTATACAAAATAACAGGGAATACAACAGATAATACTAGCCCGACTCATTTATTCGGGGTAAAGGTCCGGCCTCCTGAGTGTCGGCCCTCCGTCTGACACGTCGCCGCCTGTAATGAGTGACGGTGGTGAATGGGTCTCGGGGCGGTGGGGGAGTCAGCTGACTGGACGAGGGGTCCTCCTGGGTACCAGAGGGCGCAATACTGTGGATGTTGTAATCCTCTGCGTGTCTGGGTGACGTAGGATCACATCCACCGCTGCTCTGGCCGAGATCGAACTGTGAGTTGCCATCATGACCGTCCCGCCGGTGGGCGAGATGAGCGTGACCATATCTCCGTAAGGTAGCGACGCCCATATCTCGCACCTGCTCGACTTGGGCTCTAGTGGGTCCGCACTCAAGGGAGACTGATAGCGCATCAACCATCGCCACCATATCCGCCGCCTGCAGTAATCATCGATCAGTCAGATCTATGGCATACAAATATGGAAATTGTTGAAAAGGTGTAGAAAAATAATAACTCACATATCCGCTAATGATGTCATATGCTGGATGGTAATGTGTGGATGGTGGTGCGTAGCTGGGGTTGATGAAGCGTCGTGTGATACGCCTGTACCACACCATGTACGGATCGTCGGGATCCATAGCCCCCTGCATTAGATCACCTCCAACGATGAACTCCAACCGTTGCTCCCATAGCTGAAGGAAACGCCAATGCTCCAGCGCCCAGCTGGTCTCCCCCTTTCCCCGACGATCAATGCCGTGAAGCTGTACACTAGTGTCACACCCCTGTGGGATAGTCTGGCGTAGTCCAAACTGCCTCATGACTCGGTCGGGCAGGTGACAATCAGGGGACCTCCAATCTCGTTAGCACCTACGTGGGATGCTCTGCACAGCTGGCGATACAACGTCGCCAGACAGGCGCTACCCCAGCTGTAGCCTCGGATATGATCCCAGTCGTGGTCCAACAGCTGCATGTAAATGAGCTGGAGATGGCTCCCGCTCTTATTCCCGAACAACACGCCCGAGATGAGGAAGAACAAGTACGCCCGGGCGTATCTCTAAACCTGGGCGTCATCAGCCCCTGGTGGTAGCTCACGGAAAGTCTCACGGACCCAGCCGGTCCTCAACCCGGATCCCCTAATATCGGCGGGACCTGGCTGGACACCAAGTACCCGACCAACCAAACCGACGGGATCGACTAACGCGTGTCCTGTCACCGCAGACCCATGTACTGGAAGGCGCGTAAGAATCGCCACGTCCCGTAACGTAACGGTCGTCTCACCAACAGGTAGGTGGAAGGAGTGCGTCTCCTGTCTCCACCTCTCCGCGAGCGCAGTGACAAGCGCTCGATCGATCTCCCTATACGCCATACGGTGAAAACCACCTAAACCGACAAACTCGACGTACGCCAAAACGCGAGGATCGATTCCCCACCCCACCATGAACCTGGTGGTGTAATGCCTGCAAACGAGCTGCTTTGCCGGATCAACCTGTTAGAAAGAAATTAAGATCATATACCATATAAACTCAACAAGCTGTAGTCCATGAACAAACAAATGCAATATTACCGTCTGATCCCATACGGCAACGCTGCGGTGTGTGCCCTGTAGTGTAAGCACAGAAGGGTCAACGGGTCCAGGCGTACGATCTTCACCGTCCATCGTATCTGTTCACATGCAATTTAACAAATCCCAACAGAGTTAACGCATTAGCAATTAACCAAAATGTTAACGATCAAATGTTCCAAATGTTATCAAATCATTCATAGTCATGTTCGGTTCTAGTGTTAGTGGTTCCATATTTCCCCCACTATACTCGACCCGGGGTCCATCAAACAGAATTTCTCCTCCCCACCGGCATAACAAAACTACATTTTGTGACGCCATATTCTACATAACCAAAACACATTTTAGGATTATCAAAATCTAGAGCGAGGTAAATTATCAACACTGAAATAAGACTCTTCTCACCTATAACAACTTCACTTTCAACAACTTCACCAATTTCAACAATTTCATGAACAATTTGAATTATTTCAACAATTTCAACCTAAACTATTTCAATAATTTCAACAATTTCATCTCTTCTCACCAATTTCAACCATTAACAACTTCAACATTTTCACCATCATCAACTTCACCAATGTCATGAACAATTTCAATAACAATGTACCACATCACCATCAATAATTATCAACAATGTACCACATTTTCATTAATAATTAGCAACAATTACATGCAATTGACATGAATTAACAACAAGTAAGAGCAATTACATACAATTCACAATAATTAACCACAATAACTATGCAATTACACTAAATTCAGTTTAGGGCTAACCACGAAATTGAGTGAGTGAGTGTGAGAGGGAGGAGGGCAGCAGCAAGGTGGCGGCAGCAGCGGTGGCGCAAGGGTGGGCGGCGGCGGCAATGCGGGTGTTTGAGTACGGTCGTGGTTTAGTGTGAGAGGGAGGAGGGAAAGCGTTGAGGTTGAGGTTGAGTTCTTGCGCATTCTGCTGAAGTGAACATGCTGATATATGGCCATGAAACGCTGTCCCGGACAGCGTTTCATTTAAAAAAAAAAACAGGGCATAAAACGCTGTCTCGGACAGCGTTTTACCCATTGAATTTTTTTTTTAAAAAAACCCAAGGATAAAACGCTGTCCAAGACAGCGTTTTATGCCCTACTGAATTTAAAAAAATACAGAAGGTATTTTTCTGTCTGGGACAGCGTTTACCAGTTGAATTTTTTTAAAAAAAAAAACCAGGGGTAAAACGCTGTCCGAGACAGCGATTTACCCTGGAAGCTTAGTTTGGTAAATAGTTTTTCCACGCTACCATTTTTGTCAATAGTTTACGTTTAGAGCTCAAATTGGAAAAACGTTCACAACTTTCTATCTATTACTTGTGAAGGAAAAAACAATTGAGCAAGAGGTTGAACATTGAAGTGCTTTCTGGACCATATTGGTAAGTCTTCTTGTCTTACATTGGATTAATATATGAGTTTCAATAAGAAATTAACCATCATAATTGATATTTTGGAATTACTTGAGAAAATTTCGTGATAGTATAATTGCCACAACCTGTTCAATGAATTGTCTAATATTTTTCAATTTATTTTGAACCCATTTGGTTTCTCCTCTACCTACATTAGACATATGTAGATGTCTTTCTTTATTTATTTGTTGATAGTAGTAGTAGTGGTTTGATGAATATAAACTTTTGTGTACAGTTAGTGCAAATGTTAGACTTTGACTTGAACGATCCTGTTATTGAGGAGGATGAAAATGAACCTTTTATTGGCCAAACTTTTGAGAGGCAAGAAAAGGCTTATCTGTACTATAACAACTATGCAGAACGACATGGGTGTGTTGTTCGCAAAGATTGCTCGGACACTAAACATGGAAGGGCTATGAGACGTGATTTGTATTGCCATCGTGGAGGGAAAAAACCTTTGAAAGTGGTTGATATGTCGAAACCTCAAAGACAAAAGGAGTATGTAGATGTGATTGCAAGGCACATATGCGTATAGTTTTGTAGGGAATATTTCAAACATCAACTTTGAGCCCCACTGTGATCATGCCTTTAAGCATGGTGGCGTCCAAAGGGAAGGAAGCTAGAGATAAAAGAGTCACCAACAAGTTTTAGGAACTTCTAAACCGTTCACGAGTGTGAAGGTTACACCCCATTCACAATCACGGAGATCGCTAACTCCATAGTGGTCCGGAACCATGATTGGATATTCGGGGAAGATGGTACGAATCCGACCTAAAAGAGATTGAACCCGCCTTAAATCGGTCTTTACTTAATTCTTATGATATTCATGTGCGCTTTCCGATCTAACATACATACAACAAGTTAGCCCGAAACCTGTTTAATCTATGTTGGTTGATTGTCAATGCACAAATAAATATATTATTGGCGATCACTTGAATTAAAATCATATTAGCCTAAAACAAATTATTAATTATCTTATTAAGCGTGATTCCAAGTACAAATTCCCTTTAAACCTGCCAAAAGAGGCGTGATCAAGCAATAACAATAATCAAGAATAATCAAGTAATGTATAATTAACACAATAATCATCATCATCATAATATCCTCAAAACATTATTAGCAAGATCTTAGGCATGATACTAAACAGATTAATAACAAACCCTAGCATGTCACTAATAATCAAAATCAAAGCATTAGCCTAAACATGATACTAGAAAGCATGACATTAGGAATATTAATATAAATATCCTAACATGATACTAGGAATTAATATAAACATCCTAGCATGATACTAGAAATCACAAAAGCATCCTAACATAATACTAAGAATTAAGATAACATCCTAAGCATGATTTCTATATCAAAGGAACAAATAAGTAATCGAATTACTTAATTCGATGCCTCGTATCTCTTTCTATCAAAACAATACACGCGTTAGTAAATTCAAGAAAGATTAAATCAACAAAGTAAATAAATCAAATAATAATTGAAATATAGATTTGGGACCAAACCCTCAGAACTATTAATCTTTCACGTCGAGGTCGAAGGCAACTTTGAGATTAGCTTGGAGTATTCAAGGCTCGTGAAGGAGGTATGGTGTATGATATCAAGAAGGTGTTGGGATGTGTTTAGGCTAAGACTAGAAAGAGAGAGAGAGAGAGAGAGAGAGAAAGCTTATAGTTTAGAGAAAGGGGATTAGATGATGATTGTTGGTGATCAAGCTTGTTGATGATTGAAAACGGAGGAAAACAACCTCTATTTATAATAAAAGAGAGTCGAAACGGTGCGACAGGCTTATTGCGACGCGATTGTTTTATCGCTTAGCGATGGTTTTGGAAGATAGAATCCGTACGGAATTCGACTTCCAATCAAATTGGGTTAATCAAATTTCTGTACGAATTCTAATTTTATCTGAATTAAAATCATTGAAAAACAAGTGTTTTATCCGATATAAAATTCTTACGTATTTATCTTTTCAAAAATTGGATAAATTAGAACCTTATAGAGGATTTTAGAAGCTAATAAATCCTAATGGATTTAGGATTGAAAACAACCTTCTAAAGGATTCTGGAAGCTCATAATAAATCCTAATTGGTTTTGGAATGAGGTTAAGGTTAATGGACCCTCCACACGGTCATTGGATCGTAGATAATTAAGGCTCGGTTTGGGCTCTTGGCCATAACTTATTCGTAATAACTCGGATTAGGGCTTATAATATATCGTTGGAAAGCTCTTTTCAAGCCCATCCAACTAAACAATTACCAGGATTATGGACCAAAATAGACTGGTTTGGACGTTTTATAAAGAGAACACGAAATGAATAATTTTCAAAGACACGAAATGAATGATTGGTTTAAAGACACGAAATGAATGATTTTTTATTTAAGGACAAGAAATGAATGATTTTGGATTAAAACATTAAGGAAAGGTTAGAGATGGTCAAGGCTAAAGGGAATTTCACGAGACTCTTCAACTCTTCACCTAACTCGATAATCAAAGACGTGAAAGGTACTCATCACTGGGTTTGGTTTTTGGGGAGACATAATCAGGTGTCTACGGTACTGAAAAGGTGTTTTGATATATTTCCCAAAGAATGGCATATCACAAAGTTTGTGAAAGAGCATAATCACGAGCTATTGTCATCTGATGAAATGCATCTTCTGGCAGCTAATCGTTTTATTAGTCAAGAGGATGAAAAAAAAATTTACTCTATAAAGAAGTTGGACTTTCGGTAAGACAAATCATTCGAGTCATGGGCAGAGCTTGAAAAAAACATTAGACATGGTGAGCTATCATTTATTGAAAGAGATGTTCGTAATCTTTTTGCTAAAGTTAAGAGAGTGCTTGGAGATGATGATGTTAAGAGTCTTTTAGAGTATATTCAATCTTCAAAACAATAGAATGAATTGTTTCGATACACATACACAGTGGATGATAGTAGGAGGCTTGAACATTTGTTTTGGTGTCAAGGCCAAAGCTTTGAACTTTATCAAAAGTATGGTGATGTGATTGTGTTTGATACCACATACAAAGTGAATGGGTGCCTTGTGCAAACTACTACTGTTGGTCAAGGAGGGGTCTTGAATTCTAGTAACGTTGTTCAAGGTGGTACTTGTAGTGTTGATGGAGGAGAAGATGAAATTTTGACAGAAGAAGAATCTGATCTCATGGATGATGAACCTACACATGAAACTAATGTGTATTTGCCCCCTAAATCTAAGACAAAAGGGCATCTAAAAAAACGACGTGAGAAAGGTGGAAAAGAGTTGGGAAGAAAACTAAATCTTGTTCCATATGCAAACAACCCGACCACACTAAGCCTACTTGTCCTCACAAAGAGAATATATATTTGGCTTCAATAGAATGGAAGAGGGTGGTCCATTTGCTTCCCAAAAAAAAAACTCAAAAAACAGCTCGTGATTTTGGGATTAATCCTATATTCACTTTGAAGTTTTAGGTAATACTTGATAATACTTTAAGCTAAATTCCATATTTGCACATTGTTTACAGAGTATAACTGAATCCTAATTATATATTCACAATCTTGACATGTTGTTGAAAAATAATTAAAATGGGAGCAGTGGAGAAATAATGGAGTACTTCAATTATTTTGCTATTTTGGAGTTAATGAGAAAAAATTAAAAAAGAAAGAAAAAAAAAGGAGTGAAAGTATTCAACATGGGTTTTGATTTTTCAACTGCTAAACATCCCCCACAAATCTCTACATAAAGCCCACAATCATTTTTACTTTGACGCTTTTGCCCTTTTTCTAATTTGTAGCCAAAACGAAATTCTCTCTCACGAAAATTGTGGAGCAGGATTGGATCTCCAAGGGACACCGGAGAACCGTCATCGTCGCCAGAAAACGAGGTACGTAGAGGTAAAAAATGACGAAACGCTGGCCGGCGTTTGGCCTAGCCGCCACCGTGGCGGTGGCGCCTGGCCAAGACGCCGCCACCATGGTAGTGGCATCTAGCGTGTACCGGCAAGATGCCAACGCCACGGTGGCGGCGGCCTGGCCAAACGCCGACCATAATTTCGTCATTTTTTTTTTTGTTTTTTAACTTTGATAAATTTGAAATTAAATGTGTGTTAATAATTTCAAAAATAAAATAAAATTATGTTTTAATTTTGTATGTGTAAATTTATGTTTTAAATATGTGTTAATAATTTCATAAAAAAAACAAAATTATGTTTTATATATATATTAATAAAATTATGTTTTAATTTTTTATGTGTAAATTAAATATGTGTTAATAATTTCAAAAATAAAATAAATTATGTTTTAATTTTGTATGTGTATAAATACTTTTATAAATAATTATATGTTAATTTAGAAATTAAATGTATTATGCGTTAAATATAGAAAGTAAATTTACAAATAAAAAATTTAGAAATTACTTATGTGTTAATTTTGTGTTAAATGTATTAATTTAATCTTTATATAATTTTATGTATTTAAATATAATATGTCATTGTTGTAGGATTATGGTGGAGACAGAAATGATTACAGTGGGATTTTTGTACATGATGGTCCCTTCGAAGATGCTCAACAAGCGATTGATTGGGCAAAACAGGTTGCAATTAGATCTGGTTTTTGTTTAGTAGTGCAACTCATA